CTTGACAAATCTAAAAAACAATAACATTCACCGAGTCTAATATCTCGGCTGATTGACAATAACTAGTCCCCACTGGGTAGCACACGTATGCCTCCGTCACACGAGGTGTATACAGTGTAATATTAACAGAAGGAAAAAAAATCACTTAACCTATATTTTGTATTTTAGTAATGATCGCGTGACATGGGAATAATGTCAACCCGAATACGAAAGGCCGCGTATGCGACGTGCCGGCGAAACGATTCGGTTTCCACTTTCCACGGTTCATAACGAAAACATCTAGAAGAAAAAAAAAATACACGTTTATCCAAAATCTTAGCTACCGATCACCTTTTGATCCGATCGGATACGACTATGACAACGGCGTTGATATTTTATTTATGGTCGATTAACTCGCATAAAAAATGGTCTTTTCGAGTTACACAAAAAAATAAATCCCGCTTATACTTAATTAACCATAATAAGTGTACCTAAGCCGCTCAAAGAGGTGAAATCCACTTGAACGGTATCATCGTTTTGACATATTTTACGGCAAGACCGTTGTTTTTATCGTGAAAAAGATATTATAACAAAATTTCCAAAAAAAAAAAAGAACTGTAAAATTAAAAATTAAAATTTCAACCGACAAGTGACGATTCTTACTTTATTTCAAACACTTACGGTGTTCAAAGTTGAATTAGTTAGATTTTGAGTATTAACCTATCCTTAATAGATCTTATTAATTTTTTTTAAAAATGTGTAGTATCAACAAAGCAAAAGGCTCTTTTTGCAGTCCGACAACAACTTAACACACAGTTGTTACACATTCATTTGGACCGTTACACGAAGAAATTACTTGTCTTTATATTCATTTTGCAACAATATTACAATTGTTGTTACTTAAGGACGATGAGTCGGGTCGTTTCTCATACGTTTGCATTTCTCTAGATGACTTTGAACATGTGCTCTGTCTAGATTATCCAACTCACTCGATGAACGTCGTGGGACCATTATGCGGACGTGTTTGTGTTTCGTTACATCCGTCTTTGTTGCACTTATATTATAATTAAAATTATATATATATTTTTTTTAATTCGATCATTAGTAAACGCAATTGTAAAATGCGAGTAACCGAACGCGTACCTAATCCTAAGTAATCACTATTGATATAACTGTTGCTAAATTTGTATACGACACACACAAAAAAAATAAATTTATTGTAAACTAAAAATGAGCTGTACATTTAGCTTGCGGTTTCGTTAGGTGTGTCGAACAAAGGAATTAGCTATACCTTCTAATAAATTCGCCATATCTAACAAAATAGGTCATCCAGACCAGTTTCCCAGTAATTGTATCGCAAAGAAACTGCATATTTGTGGTTCACGGAGTCGAGTCATTAAAGTCTGCTTATATTTAACATTTTTTTGTTAATTAAATAAGCACAATACGACGACCCCACGGGGAGATTTCAACGAGTGGGGCCATTATTCACGCGTGTCGTCGTACACAAACGTTTTAGCCGGTACGTTACTGGCTTTTTCCATTTATCATCGTGTACCTTGGAGTGTTTTGGAAAATTCCCTGTTTGAACGTCAGCGATTCCGAACACTTTCTTCGTTTGATTCACTCTCGGCGATTTTGCAAAGTAATAGCCACCGACTGTCATTGTTACTTGCGCGTTCCAAGCGCACATTCAACACACTCACACGAGATGATGTATAACAATCATGCGCAGGCAATAAACCGGTCGGTGTTGCTGATAGTATTTCGCATCGTAGCGCCGACCAACAACCGGTAGAGTTCAGCGGCTCGCACACTAACCCACATAAGATTCGAACGAGAGAGCACAGGAAGAAGAAAAAGAGAAAAAAAACACTGATAATTAGCTCATACGGTTGGACCGCACACGACGCGCAATTTGTTTTTGACATTTATCAGAACTACCAATATTGTTGTTACTCCAAGACTTTGGGCCGAAAAGACTGTCGCTCGGATCGGTGGAATCCTCGGTGGATCAGCTCGATCCCAGTCTGAAATCTACACACTGAAACGCGCACCTAGTATGGTGGTGCCTATCAGATCGGTACAGCATACAACCACAGAATAAAATATAAAGCCAGATAGTGCTTTGTCCTGACATTTGTCATCAGACATCTGTCTGTACTCGATACCGACTGGATTGGAAGATAATAATCACGTGCATCGTTAAAATGACTCATACGTACATTTAATCGGCGATACAACGCTCAGCCCGTCAAGTCTATAGCAGTTTTTTTATGAATGGAAATCGCCCGAGTGCCGGCTAATGAAACGCAACAAGAGGAATGCGCGAATCGTAGCCCAGTCTTAAGTACGGCCAAAAATAATATGATAAAGTGCGTGGAGGGCAAAGCCACTATTCGCTGACCCTTTAACCTCTCGCAAACACTTAATAATGACGTTTATTATATTATACACGAACAGTCGTTTATTATTGTACGTACCAATTAACAGTACGATAATATTATGACTCACGATTAACCTTTATAGAGATCATTGGCTCCTCTTAAAAGGAATATCCAAATAGATGTATTATGTTCTTTACGTTTGCAAATCAGCTACTCTATTCATTGGTACCGGTATGAGTACATAATAATATTAACAACGATGTGAAACTGAAATCGTACTAATTGTTAAAACTGTAGAGACCTATCATTAGCAAACAATATAATATTATATATTTTACTAAAAACCACTCGGTGTGTATTGTTAAAGAGCTTTGATCGTCATGATGAAGATTAAACTAATAATGAATCCATTGGAACCCAAACAATACAACCTATGAGAGGTACTCAAAGGAATATCAAAAAGTATATAGTACAGTTTTTACATTTAATATGTACAAATTTGCCGAAATTGCTCAACGTTTGATATCATTTCAAAACCGGGGAAAACAATTTAATTTTTTTAATTTCTAAATCAATTTTTTACCCGACTAATTAACCAATCTATGCACAATTTTGCATTCGTTCGATGTGTATTTAATATTTATACACACCATTTTTAAGTACATTTTTTCTGTTACACATTTGTATACTTACCTATGCGCTTCTATTCCGTCAAAATCGTGCGATGAACGATAATAGCGATATTGTAAGATTACTGTACACTCAACCGAGTATAATATTTTAATTCGAGCTATAAAATTGCATTGCATTGCAATAGTTTTTTAACAACACTATACGTGGCATTGGCGGTCAGATGTAGACGTAGCGTCGTTGGCCGATTAATCTACCGCATTAACGTATGTAGGTAATTTTCTGCGTCTGCTCGTGTCGAAAATTCTTAAAATTATAATATGTAGGCTACACAAAAGAAGATCGCATTCTACTCGGGTCTTCCGTCGGTCCAGCTAGGATTCCCCGGGCCAACACCACAACCGGTTCGCACATCCAACGGCAATCGTGCCCTGGGTGTAACCGTTTTCTACTTTCGACCGCATTTTTCGAACCCCCTTTCTCTTTCCTCGGTTTGTGGCCGCGAACGTCGCACTTGGGCACTTTGCGCTTTGAACTTTCGTCATAGACTTTCGCTCGATGACGTCATCGACGAGTATCGATAATTATTATGTTGTGTACATTGAAATGCGCGCATAACGACCGATTACTGCAATGACCATACGATAAGGCACATCCAGGCGAGCCATGGAAATCTTCATAACACTCGAGCAGTGAAACCAACAGCCGTCCCTAATAATCAGTTGGGTGTACTAAATAATTAGTTAAATATATTTACATTTGAAAATAAAAGAATCCCACGAATCCAACAAATATTTGCAACATATCGACAATGTGCTAAGCTAGCCAATTTAATAACAGAAGCAATGGCAGTTAGGTCTGTATGCTATCATTCAGGAAATCTTGTTGGTGGCTTTTAGTTTCATCCAATAACCCAGACTGATATGGAGACCAGATGCACAGTGCAGTACATTAATGCTAACAGGATCAGTGAATTCCCCAACAATTACGTTTAAGGAACACACATATGTACGTGAAAACTTATTGTGTATTATGACAGCTGTTATGTGTTCATTACAAGACAAATCGGAAGAAAGCGTTCGTTCGATGTTTTCATTTTTGTCGCATGTCGAGGTGTCCCCGATCGTCTTTATTATTATCATGACAGTACTTAAAAAATAATGACATTTCTCACTCTGTTGCAACGTTTTCGAAGATTATTTATGTTAAAAAAAAAAACACAGTTCTTAGAATAAAAAAAAAGAGCCTCATCTAATGTGTTTGACTTATTGTCATTTTCCATATAGTAAAAACAACGATCTTTTTTTTTTATACTTTACTTTATAATTTATACACATATATTTATCTAAATACCAGTGTATATTTATGTATATAGCAGGTATATAAAATTGGATGCAGCGTTACTGTTTTACGAGAACGCACACATCAAAAACCAGAACCAAATAACAATGAAATGAAAAATGAATGGAATTTTTTTTCCTGCAATTTAAATACACTTTCGAACCATATGATAGCATTTGAAATATCAAAACGTGAAATTGGGTGTCTCGTCCGTATAAAATAACTCTCTCAAACATGATACTTCAATACTTGATATTGCACACTTAAATTTTTTTTTTTTTTGGTCATATACCCAATGTCGATTTGTTGTGTTCATGTTTTTTTTTTCAATACAATAATAATATTATTTTGATTCGCAATACTCTCGCTGGCGATTTTCTCATGTGTTTTCTTTCGGCAACGGAAAAACGTTAGACGAACTTGTAAATTTTCATAAAAACATAACAATATAATAAGTGGAAAATATTTTAACGAAAAAGAGCAAGGTTGTTCGATTGTAAGAGCAGATACATTTAAGTCAAATTAGTATTTGGATGTTGCATTCGTTTATCTAGTTGTCGTCCGAACGATGATATACAATATAACACATCATATAGCAATGAATGTTGAAACAATAATTTTCATTTCCATAGGTGTTTAAATTTGTATATTCTATTGTTGCAGGTGATATATTGCTCAATGAAAATGATAAACTTGTGGAGAGTATCAAAAGAGATGGCGGTAAGTTTATGATCCAACCTAAAAGTTAATATTGTACATATTGTATAGAAAACTATGAATAAGTGGATAATGCATAAGTAGGTATATTGTAAATAGCTAGAAAAAATGAAATCACAAATCGAGATTTAAACCTATCTAAATAATACGATTTAACTAACTATGAATTGTTCTTATCTATTTTGATTTTTATTAAGGTTGAACCATAATTGATTTTAAATAAGTTTCCTAAATTTAAACTAATATTATAATTCGAAGTACTTCTTACTGATTAGTTATAACACTGGTATACTATGTAGGTATTAACATTAATGTGTATTTAATAAGATAAAAAAAAACACTCATACTCTAATAAACACATTTTTAACTGTTAGTATATCTGTTTCTTTTTTTTATAGAAATTTTAAGAAACTTTTAACTATTAAACGCTTCTAATAATATAATAGTATTTGTATTACATTTTTAACAAACCCAAGGCTAAGAAAATACTTAAAGATCAAATTAAAAAAAAATACTTTCCTTGTAAATAATAATATTATACTTTAGATAATATATTCTATAAAATAAAAAAAACTATTAGTTATCTTATACCTAATAGTTTTTGTTTATTCTATTATAAATAAATGTATTTATATTTTCAAAATGCATATTGCAAGTGTATAATTATGGTCTAACAAGTTTATAAAAAATAAGGTTAGTTCCTGTATATATAACATCATTAAATTTCTATACACGTTTAATCGACTAAATACTCGTAAATAAATAATAAGTAGTAATATCACTGATTGGTTAAATATAAAGCTTAACTTTTGTAAATAGCAAATACATATAAAAATACATATTTAAAAAAAATATATAAATGAAGAGTGAATTTGTCAGATAGTCTAAGTGACAAAATAAAATAAAGTACCGAGTGCTGAAAAAATCTCGTAAAAAGTGGGTGATACTTCAAAGCACTAATAAACATAATCCTTTTTTTTTTTTGTTAATACTAGAAAATAATTTCGGGCCATGGCTTTGAGTACAAAATGCATGAGATGAAAAAACGATTTTGTGGGCACTTGAAACGTTTGGCAATTTCACTCTCCATATAATATCTTAATTATATATTGATGTTTGTGTAATTTCTTGTCTATTCTGTCGCTCTAACTTTGCTTCACCCCTGTGGTTTAGATGTCACTGTATTATTATTGGACGACACCGGCAAGAAGAAGACATCCCCAACTACCGGGCTATTGTCTTCGATGGCCCGCACGTTTGTCCAAGACGGTGTTACCACAGAGTATGCCACTCACGTTATCGGCACTACAGTTGGCGACCGTTATGCGCACATTGTTAGTACAGGTTCTCGAGTATTTTACGATAGCATTAAGCCCACGAACAGGCACGATACTCCTGAAATCAACTTGCAAACTATATTAGATAATTTAGGACAGCCGCAGATCTTCGAAAAACCTAAAGAAGAGGAATCGAACTTGATCGAAGCGAAAAAGCCGGAATCGGCAACGACGCCAGGACCTTCCGGCAAGCCGAACATATCGGTTAGGCAAGAAGTGTCTGTGAGAAAAAATTTCGGATCGGATATCATTAAACCGGCGAAAGTTAGTCCGAAAAATGGTTTACCGACATTTACGGTTAAGAGTAACGACGAGGAATATTTACCACTCGCAGAGGAAACGACGAAACGCGATGACTCGGCTCTGAACAAATTGAGATTATCTAAAAACTTGTTCAGAACGGGACTGAAGCCGGTTGAAATTAAAAAATATGAAACGGTTACATATTTCGGGTTTGCTGACTTTATGACAACTGTTGGAAATACTGTCATAATATTTATGCCGAAAACCCCGTCTTTGTCAGAACCTACTGGTGTCACAAGTATTAAAGGTGAAGCTACCCTTCGACCGGAAGACCTGATAAAGCCTTCGAAGTCTAATCAAGTATTCCCCACTCAAACATTAGCTCCTTCCGTGGAAAACATGGATTATCCTAGCCTAATAGAGTCGAGCATGACGAATTCAGAAGAATCAATGTCTTTGCCTACAGAACCACTGTCTCGTCGTATATCGGAAACCACGAGAGTATTTAACAACGAGCACGAAGCTCTAGGCCTTTTGAAGACTATTGGAGGAGTGGATGTAATCGATAGTAAAACGACTAGACTCACAACGTTCTTCTACGGTACGTATACCAATGGAAAATACACACAACTTGAACAGACTGTTTCAACACTACTATCAAAGCCTTCACAAGTTACTAAGCATCCTAAACCCGAAATAACATTAACCAAAGTAACTACTACGACAACAGAGTCCAAACCGATTGAGCCAGTAACCGAAGAAAACAAAGTCGTTACTACTACTGAATCTGAAGTTGACATTCCAACAACGCCAGAAGAAGAAACAGTTACACCGAGTTCGATTTCCGAAGGAACTTTATATAAAACTTACACATATTTGACAACTTTCTTTATACCCGTCGACGAAAGTGTAACGAAAACCTCGGTTAAATCAAGAATTGTTTTATCTCCTGAGCCGACTAAAAGCATGTCAACAACCATGATGGAAACAATTAGCAGTACGACTGAAGAAGTACTAACAACAACTCCCGAAGATGAAGACATAAAGTATACAACAACAGAAGAAATTCCAATTACGACTGAAAATGATTTTATTGAAAAGAAGCTTGAAGAAAAGGTTCCTGAAACGACTACTAGTTCTATGAAAGAAGAAATTAAAACTACAGAAAAGTCAGCCAGCAACGAAACAACGAATAGCGACGTAGTAATTGAAATGCCAACAACTACAACAAAACCCGAAGACGAGGAAGTTGAGCTACTATTTAAAACATTTTATACTACTTATACATATTTAACAACGTATTTCCATGAGTCAACAACTAGTGTCTTAAGCAGGGAAGAAGTAGTGACTAACGTCGTTACGTCTACTTTGGAGAAAGATTTCCTAGCCACAGACCCAGCAGTGGCTGGATTGTTTGCCAGGGAAGACGGTAGCTTATTAAATTCAGTTGTACACGAGACTGCAAGACAACCGAGAGTACTAGCAACGCGTGTTCGACCAGAGAGACCGTCGTCGGCTTACTTACATAAACCAAGTGATAGTTTATTCGCTTCTACCTTAGAATCGGTAGATTATAAAAAAGAACTCGCCACACCACCATTAGATGACGGTGCAGTTAAAACCTTCTCAAAGACATACACCTACTTTACAACGCTCCTATCTGACGGCTCTACAAACCTAAAAAGTCATACAGAAGTTTATACAAACGTTATCATGCCTTCGAGTATGCTGGTATCCAAAAATATTCAACCAACAGTCGTACAAAATAATATCGAATCGGCTGTATCGAAAGGTTCTGAACCACTCTATGAACCTATGGATGAACCAGAATTAAATTCCGAGGAAGAAAAAAATAACGAAGAAGTAGATGATGAACAAGAAGATAAAACGGAAAGTAAAGAAAACAATAATAAGATTACACCATCTTATAAATATGACATGACAATAACAAGAAATCGTACTAATTTTAATAATGCACCTGAAGACAAACCAATAAAGGATATTATTGGGGAATCGATGGTAACTGATACGAAATCAATTTCGTCAAACAATATTAAACGGAAAGTTTCCACTGAAGACGACGAAGATATGGAAAGTTCTGAAACAAATGAAGACTTCGAACCATCTCCCACGCGCGAGTTGCAAACAAGTTTCACTACTTATACATATTTTACGACAATCTATAAAGGAGTTTCTTCTAGCGATATCATAAGTCGTTTTGAAACTGTCACGAATGTCGTTCCTCATACTATACAGCCTACAGAAGCTTATAATATAAACAATGAAGAATCTACGTTACCAATAACCTATTTTACAACTTATACGTACTGGACCACGTTGTATAAAGACGGAAATACATTAGTTACAAGTCGAGAAGATACATTAACAAATGTTGTAACACCGTCTGTTTCTGAAAGTGTAATTGCTTCGGTTATAAAGCCAACTTCAGTAACTGAAATTACAGCGACGACAAAACCTCATGAACTTGAGCCAACCACTTTCTTCACTACTTTTACTTACTTCACAACGTCTTATCTTGACAATGAAACAATCGTTAACAGTAGATTGGAAACGGTAACTAGTGTTCTAAACACTTCAGATGTCAGTCAAACTACAACCGATGAAGACGAAGAAATGGAAGATAGTGTTATAAAAACAGCACCAGGAAATACATTGTCAGGAAAGCCTCCAATGCCGATTTTAAAACCAACAGGATTACTTTCGTCGATTACAACTCAAGAGGTAAATAATGGTGAAACGACAGCATTCACAACAGATGTCTATGGAACTTACATTGATGGTTTGTATGCACAAATTCTTGAAAGTAGATCTAATATTTTAAAAGCATCGCCAATACAATCTGATGCTAAAAATACAGGCGTTGTTGCACTAAATGAAGGCAAAATTATAGATGCAAATGGAATTAGTACAACGTTTTATACAACAAAAGCTATCGGTACATACATAGATCAGCTATATGCTCAAGTCATTGAAAGTACATCGTCTATAAAAGTAAATGACAATAAAAAAACTTTAGACCCATCTACAGTAATAATCGGTTCTAAAACCTACCGTACGGGTTTAATCAGTTTAATAGAAGGGACAAGTGTCAAAGATTTAAGTACCACATATTATGAAACAAAAGTCTTAGGGAACGTTGTAGATGGAAAATATACACAAGAATTTGAAAGTTCTTCCGTGGTAAAAGTAGGAGTGAACCCAACTGCAGTTCAAGAAACAAAAGCGTCGGCAACTCGACTAAACGAAGTATTAAATGAATTGCCAATATCTCCTTCGCCTGCTGTAATTGAGAGTTCACAAGGCGAAACCGGTTCTACCACTGAGAAGAACGATGAAGCCATTGAGGATGAATCATCAAATAAAAGAAAACAATTCCCCGTAATTAGGCCATTTGCTTCAAGACCACGGCCAACGTTCTTACCGAAAAAAAAATCGACTGATAGTTTAGGAGCTGCGACAATAAACCGTAGTATTACTCCCACAATTGTCGCTACGCCTGCGCTTAAGTCTAATGAAAAAGGTTTTGGATCTACTAGTCGAAATCGATTTGCTGGTGTTCGAAAACCTAGCTCATCTCAATTATCTGAATTGAGTCCATCATCTGCAAGCACTCGAAAATTTTCAAGATCTAAAAGTACCAACACTCCATTAGTATCTCCTTCATTAAATTTCAAGAGCCGATCTTCAATATCAGCTACTAGAGCAATATCGGCATCTTCAACTGCTAGTTTTGGTAGTGCAAGACGAAGCAGTCTTAATCAGAGATCATCAAGTTTAAAGACACCAGAAATCGCACCCAAGAGCTCATTGCCATCGAGATTTAGAATAAGACCAACAGCTTCTTCTGGATTTAATCGCTTTTCAAGCACATTAACTACGAGTACTGAAGAAATCCCCGACAATAATGAAGTTAGTACTTCGATAGTAACTGAGGAAGCTGTATATACTCCTGATGACGAGAGCGAAGGCATTACTGTGCCGGCATCGACTACAACAGAATCGTCTAGAAGAGGAAATAACCCATTGCTAAAACTTAGGCGACCTCCACTTCCAAAAACACCTGCAACTACTCAATCTCCAAGAAGAAACACTGTGAGAACTGCTAGCCCAACGACAAGCACAACGACGACTACACCTAGACCCCAAAGGCCAAAGACACCCAGTCCTTTAATAACACGCAACCGACCCAGGCCTGTGAATGGATTGTTCCCATCTAGAGGGCTTGGGAAAAAAGAGCAAGAACCAGAGGTAATAAATGAACAGAATATAGAAGAAGAAAGACCACAACAAGAATTTAAAACCGACGATGAGTTAGAAACTTCCTTTGACGCTTCTGGAGTCCAGGTAGAACAACAATCTAACGCAGTCGCTGAAACCGAACGGCCATCTAGAGGTAGCAGAACTTTTAATAATCAAGTACAAATAAGACCATTCAGTAATAAAAGAGGTCGATCGAAACGTCAGGTTGAATATGGTAGCAGGTCCTATGATAATAGCAGAAGCTATAGAAGTAAACAACCAGCTAAAAACACAGCCGTTGACTATTATTACTATGACGAGTATGTTGAAGCAGAAACTCCAGCTCCCGTGAGAACGCCACCACCTCCACCTAGAAGACAGCCTAGTCGAACCAGACAACAGCCAAAAGTTAATCCTACAGCTTCGTCATCTAATTTTGGTAGGTCACAATTTACATTACGAGAAAAGACACCTACAACTACGCCGGCGCCAACCCAAAGAACGTCGAATTACAGAAGAACGCGGCCACCAGTAGTAGAAACTACTACATCTAAACGGTTATCTAGATTGAGATATCCAACTACAACTACTCCGGAACCCCTTCGTAATGGTCGTCGCTATACACCATCTTCGCGTCGCCAAAGTACCCGACCTAGATATAGGGATCAAGAGTTGAATACTTACGTTAACACACAAAGTGTATTTGATGGTACAATAACAGTAACTCATAAAATACCAACCGAGTTAACTATACCTATTGTCATAGGTAAAAACACAGAATACAAACAAGTATTGACAGCTAAACCTAGTCTCGAGGTATTGGGTCCAAATCAATATAGTACAGTTGCAGGCAAGAACGGTTACCCAACCGTTCAACTTGTTAGAGAGGTAACTGAAACCTTGCAAAACGGAGTAACAGAAATAACTAAATTCGTAATTTTTGAACAACCAACGAGCAGTATTACATTTACACCAACTTATATACGGGGAAGGAAAACCTCATACTCGCATATAATACCTAGTACAATATATGAAATAAGACCTGAAGTTTCCACAGTCCAGCCACAATTAAACAATGCACCATTAGCTAATTTGCTATTATCACAATTACTTTTGGGCAACTTAGGAATTCAGCAAACGGTTAACCCCTTACTAGCCTTAAACTCAGCTATGGTAACACCTCAATCACCCGTAACTGAATTCAAAACCAAAAGTACAACTTATGTAACCACCGTAACAAATTCGGTATCGACAGTGTTGCCAATCACTTTCAGAGGAAAAGTTATATCGACAACAGTTATTGATAGCTCTACTAATGTTATTACTGCCACGGAATATATCACGGAAACTATTGTGACTACACCAACTATAACGCAACAGCCAACTAATCAATTAAACACGTTACTTTTGCCAGCGTTACTCCAAGCCCAGCTATTGGGGCAAGCTACTACTTCTAATAATTTGCTGGGCAGTATTGATACGACTCAAGAAGACCTTCTTCAAGAGCTTATTGAACCCACGCCGAAGTACGACGATGATGTAAAAGGTGACACAAAACCATCAAAAAAGAAAACGGTTGCAAAAAAACCACCGGATCCGGCAATAGATCCTGCAGAAGCAAGTGTGGTAACTCTGTACGTATCAGGGAAACGACCAGGTGAATTCAGCACTGTATTATCGACAATCAATTTTGATGAAACAGCTACAGTACGCAAACGAGAGGTAGAACCTTCGTCTGTATTAGATTTAATGGCAACAGTATTTGAAGACTTCTTATTGTCACCTACTGACGAGGATCTTGTTCATGGTTACAACGAAGAAGAAACTCAGAGTTTGGAGAGTATGTTGGGCGATGTGAGTAAAAACGTAAAACTCGAGAACCGAGCTACAAAGGTAAAAGTGCTACTCGCTGAACCTACCGCCAAGCCAACCCAAGAAACTACCGATCATTTTTTATGGAAAAGCTCCGCTGATGCTCCAGTTCAGCGGGAAAGCATAAAACCAAAAATCTGGAGTTCTGGAAGTCGAACGAAAAGAGAAGCATCTCATTTTTTACCATCTAATGATGTTTTTCTGTTTGACTCTTCAAAAATACCAAAAAAATCATTAACCCAAAACAATTTTTATAATGTCGGTGATAGGAAAAATTCTTCTTTTACTATCTCAAAAAATCTACAACAAAATAAAATTGACGCAAAAGGTAAGATATTTGAATGCAAGTCCTTGATACAATTATACTCTTTAATACTAACACTTATGGTTATTTCAGCAGACGAACAAAGGGGGTTCGAAGATAGGAAGTTTAACTTTGCTACGAAAAAAATGAGCAATGGTGTTGAAGTAATAGTTGCTGGAGATAAAAGCACATACCCTGGACAATCTAATGTACTAAGAGTATTGCCCACTTCTCCCGCAAGACCTATAACACTTGCACCAAGTACTCTAACCGACCATATGCTCATGATGCTACCCCATCCAATTAAACAAGTTTGTTTTTTAAATGCTTTTAAATTAACGTAAACTAAAACAATTTTTATTCTCTTATTTTAGAGCATGAACAATCAATTTGTTACCAAAACATATTTAACAACTTACACATATTTAACAACGTTCTTGGATGGAGAGGCTACAGTAGTATCTAGTCGAGAGAAAGTGGTATCAAATGTTGTTACTGACGAAGTGAATAAAATTACTCCAACTGCAACACTCAGTCAAGTTACATTAACATCAAGCCCGAGTTTAGAAACTGGGGTTTATCATACCACTTATACGTATTTAAATACGATTGTGGACGGAGACGTTCCTCTCGTTATGACCAGCCAGAAAACCGTGGCCAACACTGTAACAGCTCCGCATGAGTTTTTAACACCTTTACAAGCCTCCGAACCTGCTTACCACGACACTAACACCTACCTCAATACTGGTAAGATATTTTATTTTTATTTTCGCCATTTACTAACAAAAGTTAATTAATATTTTTACTTTTAGTTTCATTTACGAAGACGTTAAGTGATGGTCCTGATTATACTGTAGTAAGTACGGAAGACATATTGACTCAGGTGATCATTACAAAAACGGATAATACCCCAACTTTGGATAAAACTTTATCGAAACCCGAAAGTTCAGTAACTGACGTAACTAAAACTTATTTTGTTACATATACATACTTTAATACGGTACAAGAAGGTACAAACACCGTAGTTAAATCGGATATATCTGTGTCCTCTGATATAATCACGGAAAAAAACCATATAGCAACCAAAACAGAACAAATACTACCAACGCCAATTGTTGATAAACAACCGTTTAATGTGTATGCGACTAAGACGTATCTCACAACGTATACTTATTTTACAACTTTATTGAAAGACAATGATGGGAAAAATCCGTCTAACACACAAATCAAATCCAGAACTAAAGTGGTTCAGAACATTGTAACAGAGTCGTTGAATACATCATTGTTTGACTCGAATTACTTATCTGCTATAAGTTCATCAGTACAAAACGAAAAAATTCCTATAACCGCCACAGCGACATTAGGAAATGGTCAAAAAGTCGAATTTACTGCTATGAATGAAGTACTGCCAACGGAACAAAACGATATATACCCAACAGATTCGGTTATTTCAACTTCGTCTCCTGAAACAGAAAAACCACCAGTCACAGAAAATGTTATAAAGCCAGCGGATAAACTTAAAGATTCTATTAAGCCGTCTAGTGTTAATAAAATATCACAAAAAACTGAGATACAAAAACCACCAAAGAAGAGTCCTCCTCCAAAATCTGAACAAAAATTCCCAGTAAATGCATTGCCAGTTAAACCAGCCAACTCAAATACGGGGGGTAGTTTGATTGATTTTGGAACAATGGCTCAAAGCTTAACAGCCTTAAAACCAGTTATTAGTGCTGTGGCCGGTATAATACAAAATAACTACAAAAGTGAGCAAAAAACTAAAAATGTTCACATTCAACAGAAATCAACGCCCAAGCCAGTAAAACATGAAACAACCAGTAGATCCCCGATATACATACCTGTTGGTGGACTAGCAGATTCTGTAGGTTCAGAAAGTCAACAATATCCAGACACAGATCAAAGACACCCTCACGTAGGATCTGCAAGACCACCACTCGAAGCAGCTATGTTATCTGGAGGGATACCAATAAGTCCTGGAGAAGTAATAACAACTAATAGTGACGTTATTATTGGAAAACCATCAGTTTTAGGACCCAGACCGCCAGCTGATAATTTTAAAAATGACGAGAACCCTTTTGGTATAAGACCAACGGTAGAAAACTACAAAAACGATGATATGTCATTTGGTATGAGACCACCACCTCCTTCCCCACAATTTAAAGATAAGGTATCAATACCAAATAACGGAGCGAGGGAACATATTAAAAATCCTTTACCTCACACCGACAGAAAAAATACTCAACCATTGCGATATCATGAAAACCGGGTGCAAGGCCATTATCAGATAACTAACGCACCAATTAAATCAGAAGTGAATATAATACCTTTAAGTAAACCTGACCCTTGGCCAACAAAATTGGTCACTGATGTACAACCTTTAATTTTAACGAATCCAGACTTTGACCCAAACGTTAGCTACAGTGATCAACATCTAGTTACATCAAATAAACCTTATCTAGAACAAACAGCTATTGACCCTTTGTTGGTAAACATTCAACCATCTCAAGTAGCTCAAGTTGTAATACCGCATGGAAGTCAAACAGCGTTAATATACAGTGATCAACCTGCAATCGGACATGGTCCTAAAGGTGAAATATTTAATGACCCGCAACCTTATCCAGAAAACCATGTAAATCCTGGGTTTGTAGGATTAGAAGTGTATGGAACTGAAAATCGTCCAATAAAAACTGAAAATCGTCCAATAAATAGTGTAAAATCAAAAATACCTGCAAATGCTATACACTTTGATATACCAGTATCTCCAGCAGGCATAAAAGTAGGTGATACAGAATCACACCACGTAGTTTTATATGATAATGACACTGGAGAAGTAAAAACCAGGCCTATTGAAATCCCTAGGCCTCAAAATAATAACAACCAATATTTGGTCCCACCACCAGTGTCTCAAGTTAATTCATTTATTCGGAGACCCGAAGGAAGACCTGAAGTAGGATCTTCAGTAGAAGATGATTTGTTACAATTTGAAGATGGTGAAGTAACGCAAGAGTCAAAGAAAACTCCATTAAGACCAGGAGAATTACCTTATGGGGTCCATAGTAGTGAGTTTGATGAAGAAAGAACACCTATCATCACGGGTAGACCACATGGGGGCAACTTCAAAGGAGAAGAACAGATAGTTTCAGTAGGAAAACCTTTAGGAACTAACGAACACATTGAATTGAGACCCGGTAACTTAGTCGTGTCCAATCAAAATCATCAAGAAATACAGCACAATATTCAATATTTCAACAATGAACTAAAATCTCCTAATCTCACACCAACAACTGGCAATTATGATGATACGAATAGACCAAACAAGCTTATAATAAATGTCCCGCCTAGAGATGATATCAAGCAGGCTATGGACATGGACGAAAAATTACCACCATTACCGCCATCGTCACCGACGAAAAATGACAATAATGATTTAGATGTTCAAGGAAGCACACCACAACCAATAATAGTAAGACCACAGCACGATAACGAAGTGTTGGGATTATCTCCGCCTCCAATGATAACTCACACTGTAAAGTATGATAATGTTACATTAAAACCACAAAGTTCAAGAAGACCGTACCGTCCTAAACCTAGGACTACGACTCCACCTCCATATCAGTTTGAGAGACCTCAAAACAAACGACCGCCACCACCATACCAGAATCAAGAAGATGTAGTATTAAAACCGGTGTCCACTACAGCGAAAGTTGAGCCCGTGCATAAATGGGAAGCTTCTCCAAGTTTAAAACCAGATCACAAGCCAACTTACGAAGAGAAACCGGAAATTTTAAAAGCGGAAAGTAAAGTAGTCAGCCAAGGTTCGTATGTTAAACCCAACTACCGCGAAACGACAAAAGACAAAACAATAATTTACGGAAATCCAGTGACAAATGTAATCCCAACAATTGTCACACATGAACCAACTAAATGGCACGACTACAGTCCTATTTCCAGCACCGAAAGCAGAATTGAGACAATACAGTCTACTACTGAAACTCCAGCGTTGACTTCTTCTACTTTGGGGATTATCAAATCATATACAACACCGAGCAAACCCGCGATTAAGCCCACAAGTAAAACGACCGACTATCATAGCGTTATAAGTGTTGTTGTCAAAAATGAAGAGAAACCCGAAGAGAAAATAAACGAGGATGTCTTGGAAAGTCCTACGACTCCAAAACAAAAGACTCAAATGAGACCGCAAGTAACAATTTTACAACTACCGGAAAGACCATCGTTTATGGACGAGTTTCACAAGCAACTCCACCAAGCTTCTTCGTTACCGACGCGATTTGTCACCCACACCCAAACATTATCTGTAACAATAACGGAAACAACTGTTCTTCAGAGTGATGGTTTTGAACCTTCGACGCACACCCTTGTTCTTACTAAAACACAGACGTCGACGTTGGTGGACACAGTGACCGAAGTCCATACGTTAGTCAAGCCTACTCAGGTGTTATCGACAATAACCACTACTGTGCCGGTGCCGGTGCCAATTCATACCGATCCGGTATTATTGGCCCCAGTTGTCGAAGGAACCAAATCCAAAACCATTGCCGTGCCTCCGGACGAAAACGAAACGCTTCTAGTCGTTATGACCGATAAAAAAGGCGGAAGCAATCACAATCATAACTATAATCACAACCATGGTATACCACCAGAAATTCAAGTCCCTGACGAAACCAACGAAATTGGTCCCAGTGACGTTTTATTAAGTGGCATTTTAACTCATTCGTCTGATTCGGAATGCCGGCCCGAATGTAAAGCGACCAAAAACGAAATTTGCCAACGAGTAGAAAACGTAATGCGATGTGTTTGCCGACCTGGATTCGCTAGAATATTTATGGACAGGCCTTGTAAACGTAAGTTATATGCATTTACAAAATTAATTCAGTAACAATGTTAACTGTAAGTTTATTGATTTCAGCTACGTACACGTATACAATGAAATTGGTTTTGGACAAGTTCCGCAAAGAACCAATAAAATACTCCAATTTCTTGGAGAATCCTAGTTCGTCTCAATACCAACAGCTGACTGAAGCAACCCGGGAAGGGCTTAATCGGATGTCAATGCAATCGGATCTCAGAGACATATATCACGGTGTTATCGTAGGAGGATTTGAGCCGGCGGTCAATGGCGAAAAGACGGCCGTTTCGTACATCATACAAGTATGGTTTTTTTGTTTTTTCTATCAAATAATATCACTAAAATACAATTTCATAATCCTCTTAAACCTTTTTTGACAAATTTTAGCTATCCGAAAACGCGGAAGACACTAAATTATGGGAAGCGACTAAAAAATCACTTAGAGCTACCAACTTCAGTTTGGGAGGAACTGATGTATTTGCTGCTCGTGATCATTTACAACTTTTATCAGCCGAAGGTAAAACGTTTCTATGGAGCACACATTTTTCAGTAGATTCTAATTCGATTGATGTACGGCTTTTAGATTTTGACGAATGTAGTGACACGAAATTCCACGACTGCTCAGATAACGCCAAGTGCTTCAATTTACACGGAACGTACACGTGCAGTTGCAAAGATGGATTCACTGATATTTCACACAACGCTCAATTCCCTGGAAGAGTCTGTTCTTGTAAGGATTTTTTTATTTTATATTTATAATAGAAAATATTCAGTTTTTGACCGACATCACTGTTATTCTTAGCTGAACTTGTTGGATGCGACTTATGTAACTATCACGGTACATGTTATTTAAGTAACCAAGATCAAACTATTTGCGAATGCTTCCAGTGGTATGCTGGCAAACACTGTCAATTCAATTTAAGAGGTGAATCATCCGTATTACAATATTACAAATTATGTTCATTATTAAAATATTATTATTATTTCTTATTTTTTTGTATAGTGCTTCTGCTAGGTCTGATAGCTATCGGAGTGATGTTATTGTCACTGCTTATCGCATGCCTTTTGATGGCGTGCTGCAAGAAAAAATCTAGAGAATCGGTAATGGGACTCTATCAACCTCAGCGACCAGTTATGGGTTTCCGACGTTATCGAAACATGATGGCTGCCACCAGGGGCGATAAAAGAGCAATGATCAGCGTCGATACGGGAAGCGAAACGAGCGTCGACCGAACGCCTCCTCCATACGTCAAACAGGTATGAGCTACAAATATTAAATGATCCAATGATTTTCCTACAAAGGAAGAACTAAATTTGTATTTTTATTTAACCTTCGATATAAAAGATTTTAAACGAAATCAATTAGAGTTTCACGGAGGAAAATACAATAGTTGATACTAGTATTGAATCTGTTTTTTTTTTTCGATTAAAGGTGATGAGCCCGCAAAGGCAAGTGCACGCTCACGGGCATTCTCACGCTAAAACACCGTCGCCTTCGAGCCACGGCGGCAGTACCATGCGTAGTGGACTGGACCAACGAGATAGAAGTCTGACAGTGATGATACCAAGGGCCAAGTATCGGGCTGCACCACAGCAATCGCCGTCGGTGTTGACCATGTCTACATTCGGACCCGAACAAAAGGAAATGACCTATCTGGACTCGCGGCAAACGCCGATCAAGGTATAAACAAACATAATGTAATAACAATACCTCAGTCAGTCCATTGAAACTTACTCGCTTCTTTATAGGGCTCAAGGTGTAGCAGCAGAAAACCTAGTGATACAACGCAGCGGTCGGTGGAAATACCTCCGCCTCGCAAGAAGTACGCAGCCCCGAGAAAACCATCGACGGGTAAACAAAGTTATATAATATAATATTACTTAATTTTTTTTTTCTCGACTTCCTGGATTTTTTGAGCAAGCACGATTTTCTTTCTCTTAGGCGCCCTCGTGTCAGCCGGATTCGAGGTCTCGGCCACAGTGGTCAAGACCAAAGAACTAGATGAAGCGTACGTGGGCCGCGAGGACGACAAACCAGATTTCAACACTGCAAGAACAACCGCCGCCAGGTAAATATTAGTGCTGTTAATAATAATAGTAATAACCGATTGTTTGTCACATTATTTAATCGTTGGTTTTCTTCAACCAGGACCGTATCTGTGGCGAGGTCTTTCGACGAAACGACCATACAGAATCCGACAAAATGCTATCATGCCGACAGTCATTACGAGTCCAAATCGCAGTATTCCCAAAAGACAGCCGACGTAAGTTGATTTTTTCTTACTTACCACAATGCACACAGCTCCTAATAATATGCCGTGTATTTCTTCTACAGGAGGGACACACGATGGTCGAAAGAGACTTGGGCTCTACGTACCTGATGCCCCAATCAAAACTGTACAAGCCGGATAATAGGGTAAGTGGTGTCTGAATGAATATATTATGTTGTATATTTTTTATTTTTGGTCATTGTTTTTCATCATACATATGTAATCCCAAACCCGCAGGGAAGTGATACGTCGAATTTCGATTCACTGTGATGGATTCGACAGAGATTACCATCCCAATCATGCCATACAATATTATCAACAGTCAAGTGTGTTATTAAAATATAAATATAACATTACTGTAACTGTAAAAATGACAAAAAAACTTTTGCCTGTTTCAGATAATCATGTTCATAATTTACCTACGTTGTACAGCTTCCGAAACTCTGTACTTTTAATTTATTGCTGTATTATGATATTATTCTAGTTACATCCTAAAACAGTATTATCTTTAGTATTTTTTATATGTTATTATTTACATAGTTTTAATTACATACAATGCCATATATATAGGTAATTTTGTTATTAGTTTAATTGTATATTATTCATTATTTGTTTCGTGAGATCGTGTTTTTAAAATTTTTTTACTTAAACATTTATTTGTTATGACATATTATGAGATGTTCTCTTTTCTTATGATAACCTATTGAAGGATCATAATGAAACGACAATACCTCTTATTTTATTATTATTTCTTCGATTTCGATATTATGTAAATACACGTATGTTGAAATGAAAAAAAAAGAAATACATAATTATTTAATTACAATAACATTTTGTTGGTAATATGCAGATGACAAATGTTTTGATCAATTTTAATTTAGTTGCTAAGGATACCAAGCCTTATTTGTGCCAAAAAAATATTGTCATCTTCTGAAAAGTTACTTAACAGACAATAACAAATATTTGAATACATATTTTTTTTACCTGCCATTTTACGTTATAATTATAGCCTATTATCATCTGTTATAGGCTAATAAATTGATTGTACTTCACTGTTGAATAAAACAACGAAGTCACTTTAGATGTATGTTAATAATTGTTTAAGAATATGAAAAAATAAAGATGTATTTTTTTTTCATTTCATTAATGACTGTTTTTGTATAACCTTGATTTATATATGAATTTTTATTATTGTAATAAACAAATAAAACAAAACATTATAATACACGGTGGTTTTATGTTTATGCACAACTTCCAATGACATAGATAAAAGGTATGTCATTAGTTTATTTTTTTTTTTTTTAGAATAGAGGTTATTTAAATAATTTATTTTCAGTCTTACAAGTATGAATATTTAAAAAACAAAGTATACAATTGTTATTACATTATAGTGGTATCTATATAGTTAGTAGCTATTACAAAAGTAAAACTGTAGAATAAAAGTACAAAGTAACAAAGGTAGTCGGTACTAATAGACTAAATATTTTAGCTAATGCTCGAATGACTTGTGGCTTGTTTATAAAATACATTTTAGTTTTTATCAACAATTCTTAAATGGTCTGGCATTTATTAAATTATAGATTGCTGGTAGTTGACACTTAATTTATATTTATATTTATCTGTATAAATGTACAAGTATGTATTTCAGTCCAGTAGTTATTACATGGCCCCGAAAATATATCATCTGATTTCAATGTGACCAAATAAATAACTCAACACTTGCCATCGCTGCATTTTATACTTTCAAGTGTTTGGACACAATATTTCATCTTCTAACATTCATAATATCGATGAAATAACAATGGCGGACGGTCACTTGAATTGACTGTCACAATTAAACTCTGAAGGCGTTCTTGGAAATGTTAGCGAATGCTACTTACGGTACAAAGTTCTGTCTTACATCAGAATACCGACTCAACTTGTACTCGAGGGTTGCAGGGAAATTCTGGAAACTCTTGTTTTATGCACAATACAACCAACAGCAATGGAAGGGTACGCGCTTTTCAATGCGATGTCCGCCATTTCCAAACTGGGCTTTTGTCATTCCTACAACGGTTATAATCGCACACAATAGTCAATACAAACCATAACCATTCACTAGTGTCTATATTGAAACTATACACAAAACGGAATAGTAACAATTATGTATAATAATTCTATAGTCATTGGAAACGTAGAACAACGCATATTTCCCCTTTTTTTTCGAGGGGTAAACTTAAATAAAAATAAAAAAGTTCAACTACAGATTTTCATCGATTTTTTTTTTTATTAAATTATTTTAATGACTGGTGCCTATAACTGCTGGTCTGTTTCTGGGATGTTCAGTATTTAATCACTGTGACTTACATGATACAGTACTAATAGGTTGGCACACAATTATTTATAAGTATTATTAAGCTAGTGTAATCATCATTTTTAGCGCATTAAACAACAGTGCGGTCAATTATAGGTAATCCTTAACTCTGGGCATTTTTAACAAATATTAACCATGTTTAAATTTAAAAATAATAACGACGATATTCATATGAAATCTTAACGGTGTTGGTTTGCTGGAACGCGATTAAAATGTTATATACCATCAACCATTAAGAAGTTACCAGTGAGTATATAGTTGAAAAACTAATAAACAATTTTAAATACTTATAATAAAATACTTATCATTAATCATTAGATACATTCTAATAGTATGAACTTATACACGTACTTAGATCACACAACATATATTACTCAGTATTAGATTATGATTTATGTGTATTTTATCATTAATATTGCTAAATAAATGTTGGTAAATGTAGATCATCAATTTTCAATTTTGCTAACATTTTTCTTTTATTCGATATACTTATATTGTGATTATATAACAGGCTATACACTAAATTTCAAGTTTTGTATCACTTTTTGTGTTTTTTCATTATCTCATAGTTGGCCTACGCAATATTAAGCATTATAAATTAATATCAAATAACTAATCATAATATGGTTGCTAAAATTAAAGTAATATAAAAAATATACATATATTTGGCTCATGACTAATGTTCACTGGAAAAGGAATGAACATTTTCTGAAGTAATACTTCAATCCTTTTTATATTTGAAAACAACTCAACACTTAATTATTTTTAGAAAAATTGTATAATATTTTATAAATCATCCTGTACATAAATTTCTATCTTATCTAGACTGATAATTTTGACATTGTCTGCCCCGTAGCTGGTGTTTGAGAATCTTTTGTATCCTCCAACAACAACCCAAGGGTTACTCGGTCTGTCAGATTCGTTGTCCAGTCTTTCTTTTCCGCAGATACCTATGCAGACATGCCCGTCGTCAAGTGTTCTTTCATGACGTGGATGTCGATATTAATGCCTGCGACGTCCCAGCTGAGGTTAAACGAATTGACAATTAGTCTGTCGACTCCATCAGTACTTGACTCACAAATATAACAATCTGAAACATCAATAGAGTTAAATGTATAAAAGAAAATTATCATGTTCCTGTTTTTTTTTTTTTTTTATGTAACTTACATTAAGTTAGTGGGGCATTTCGACCCCCTCGATGGTGACTCTCCTAAGCCTCACCATAGTCCCTGAGTACACAGTCACCGGACTGTTAAACGTGGCTACGTTAAACCAGCTGATGGTTGAGTACCGACTGGTGTGATGTCAACGTCCTCTATTGCTCCTCTTAATGGGCGTACTGCTACTGCCAGCGACCAGATAATTTCTAGCCGCCACTGATATTATCGAGAGCCAGTGATGTCCACATTACATTCTTCTACTGCTATTGTCGTTTGCATTGTATAGATGAATGCTTTAATAACCAATAAGTTTTTAAATAGAACATAATATAAAATAAATTAAATACCAAAGTTAAAAAATTAACTGATCAATTATGATTTTAAGCGTTGAATACCAAATTTATTACAATAATAACATTTTTGTTGTCCTAAGTGGTTACTAAAATTGGAAATATAACTCTTAAATTGCGTAATAACTCAGCCAATTACTTAGTATTATTTTGAAGTAGTCAATATTCCTTTTAGTATTTAACTTTTTTTGTTTTTTAATGCATTTATTTTTGAAATATTGTTCAAACAAGAACTAATTATCTTAAAATTTAATATTATTAAAATACAATATATCTACATACTACAATTTATTAAGTCTGGAGGCTCTAGAGATGCATTTTCACCACACAAATATACTGGAAAATGACCACGGCATATGGTATGTTATAGTCATCTGAAAATCGCCACCATAACATAAATTAAATTAAAAATTTTCTTAATTTATCACTTTTTCTTCTCCAAAATAAATATTTAAAATATTTTATTGTTTTTTTTATAGCAACACACCCCAAATAGTAAATTAATTATTTCAAAAATATCATGAAAGTTTTTGCCATAACCTGTTTTTAATATTTTTACTGGGAATTTTCTAAAAGAACACCATGCCAGATATTTATTGTATGAAGTATAAACAATTGCTCGCAAGTATTAATTTATTACAGCTAAAAGAATAGAGTGTAAACAGTAACTTTAGTGTAATACTGTAATGAGAATTCTATATGGGTTGTTTTTTTATTTTGTCAGCTTATACAGTGATTTCTGCAAAAAATATGCAAAAATATGCTTTGGATGGGACAAACTTTTGAGAGCATTATTCACACTAGATATATTACATTTTTACAATACACAGAAGATAGCTTAATCTGTTTTTGTTGTACAATTGGTTTTTGAAAGTGACAAGGTAATTGATAAATATACTTAACATGAAACATGTGATAATACACACAATTATTTATGTCTTAAGACTTTATAACCAGTAAAATTGTTTAAATAGTAGACATGTTTATAATGCAATTATTCTTTAACCAAAATATGGGGCAATTTTGGTGGATAAATGTACTAGTGAATACTATTAAAAATTAAAAAAATTAACTGGACTTGCGTTAAAGGTAAAGTTGGTTATTGATCATTTAGATTAGATCGGGTTGGAATAGATTAAAATAACTAAACCAAATAAAAAGGAATACAAAAGCTACTGTAACACCACTTACTTCTTAGCTAAAACCACTAATATTTTTTAAATGATTTTATGGTTGTTAAAAGCAGCTATTAAAATTCATATTTACCTATCGGATTTCCCTTGTAATATTCTCGAATTCAGGATAACTATATTCAATTAAGTGTTCGATTTTGATTTTTGATCTTGCCGATTCGTCAAACATTTTTTTTTGAATGCAGTATAGATTGCCTAAATATTTTTATTTTTTTAGTTTATACAAAACAAATACAAATAGGAACATTTATTACCGCCAGTTATCCACTTCTATCGCACAACAGTTTTGGAAGAATATCAACGTTTATTGCTCTTTTAAAGTTATCGAAATATAATATGTATTTTTCATCTGAAAATCACCAACATAACATATAAATAAAATTCATAAATTATTAAAAATTAATATTCAAGTAAATTTTTTTTTCAATACAGCCCAAACATCTAATTATAAATTGTTTAAAAAATACCATAAAATTTTGGCGATTAAAGGTTTTTTTAAATATTAACTTTTTTTAAAAAAAAATGTAAAAATAACATATTTCATAAAGCATTTTATTATTTTCGAATATAAATATTTTAGTTAGTTTAAAAGCATACATTTCTGTCGTTTACCGTAATAACAATACTATTGTTTAATATACGTAATTTACATTTTGTATTGATATTGCTTTCATTTGTATATTTTAATAGTTACTACATACTTAACGTCGGTGAGACTGCAACAACAAATTTTCGGATTTCGGTTTTCATGATTCATCCCATTTTTCATTATTTTACTACAGATAACAGAATGTAAACAAAATCTGAGCTGATAATGAAACCAGTGTGACCGCATTAGTCGGAACAAAATTATTTAACTTTTTAATTACCATAATATTTATAATAATAAATAATACAGTTTTTTAATTTTAAAATTATTCCCCTATATTTTATAACATTTAAAAAAATAATCGAACTAGTTCCATGCATTAGTATGAATTCTTATTTTGAAAATATAAAAGTCGACAAACCAAAAAATGTCCAAACCCTTATATATGTGATTTTAGGACCTTTAACCTTAAGGTTTTGGAACTTAGACTGATGGTAGATCTGTAGTCTACATAATTATATAATTTTCTCAAAAGTCTGTAGTCCAACTTTTTTTCATTAAGAACCCTCAAGTGCACACAGATGATCGACTCTAATCGTAAGTCCACCCTTATACTCGAAAAATAATTTTAAGCTCTTACAGCTTTTATCGATATTTGTAGATCTGCTACACACAGATTGACAACGAAACGTTTATTTGACAGCGATTTTATTACATTCATTTATAATAGTCCCAGTCCACCCGTGACCTCCCTCGGTCGCTATACCTAAACTCCACTGTACTAGCATTCTTTTTTTTTTCTAATTAAAATAAACGATTTTTTCTGAACATTAACTGTCGCGGTAGTCCGCGAGAAAGACTCGACAAGTGAACATTCGGAATTTCAGTTAATGACGTTATTAATTAAAGAAGAATGTTGGGGGGGGGGAGAGACAATAGTACTTAATACAAACAAAGGTAAAAATAACAATAAACACTATAGTTGGCCGTGTAGGTTTGACGATGACGAATCAATGTCAATTTTAGTATAATCGTTTAATATTATTGCAACATCATGTACAGCTCTGAGCGAGACCCGTCCAACGTACTATGCCCGTCGAAAATCCAAACAGTCACTTCGCGGTCTTCGACCAAAACTCACCGCCAACTGCTAGTGACGGTTGCCCGTCTTAACTGCACGACTCCCGAGTAAGTGAATTTTATTATAATATATTAAACATTTCAATATTCTAACAAATATATTTTCGATACTTACACGACGGCCAAAATTGTCGCATACGTTCCATTAAAAACCGCGTGAAATTTCCTACTCTTCCCCGGTGGTAGATGGGCGCCATTAGTTTAGCAGGTACTTAATTGTTTATCGAATTACTTATTTAATTCGATTTGTAACGTTTAAAAAGAAGAACCAATACCGTCTGAGCCGTCAATTGTAAAAAAATGTGAATTAGTTTTTCCGTTGTCATCAAAATATGTTCAAACTATTGCACATTATAGAATATGCTCATTTGATTTTTAACACAATTCGCAATAAAAAAAACAAATAAAATCGATTATAGCTGTACTAATAATAAGAAAGATATACACGAAGTGTATTTATACATATCTTACAGCGAGATGTTGTAGCCGAAATACATATTGGTTTTTTTGAATAAACGTTCCCAAAGATAATCGTTAAATGCAATTTATCTCTGATATCATATCATTACAACTATGTCTGACAAAGATCCAAAACCGGATAAACGATTTCAATTTCTCGAATCGTGCCTTTGCCTAACGAAGCCCCTTTGTGAAATGACTACCGTACAAATTGGTATATTAACAGCTATAGTGCCAAGCACACATTGGGCAAATTATGCTGTATGCAATGTACAGCATAAACGTTTATACTTTAGAAGATACCTACGCACCCGTTTATGACATCTCTTAGCAGCAACTTGGTAATATGTTCGTACCTACTCAAGTTTTTACTTTGGAAAAGTCTCCAAAAACAACCGCGAGTAACCACTTGTGTTTTTTTTTTTTTAACTTTGACGCTAGAGATTGAGATGGTATTTTTTTGTTTTATCGTCCGCGGTTTTGACCGGATTGCCGCAGAGTGGAAGGGAGCTGTAGTTGTCCTTGAACCGCAAGCCTCTGGTTGGTATTTTTACACGCTCGAGTCTTTCACTTTTATCGGGCCGGGTTATCGTTGTACACAGGTGTACAGGTATTTTTTTTTTTTTGAAATAATTGCTTAATATGTACGCCTTGGGTCTGGTGTAATCCGGTCACCGATGCCCGATGACATAACACAATACTGTGTTTATAGACCGTGCGTGGCTCATGCTTCTGCGGATCGGGGTCAAAACCACGATCATAGTATAGGTAGGTATAATTGTAGGTATTAATTATACCTACAATTATACTGTATAATGTACGAACGACCTGCTCGGGAAAAGAAAAATCGCTTACATTTTTAGAAAATTAAAAAAAACTTGTGAGAGGAAGGGGGAGATGGCAAGGATTAACTAATTTCAATTATTATTCTGACAACCGCTAGTGACGCGTAGGTCGAGAAGTTGACCTCCGTTTAGCTACAAAAATAAATAAATATGTACAGAATAACAAACATGGCCCGAATTAGGAATATGTGCGTATATCCGTTTACCGTTTAGCCGAATAACAAGCGTAATGAACGCCTTAGAAATAAATTAATTGTGTAAACCGTCGAATGATAAAAACAAATATATGAAAAAAACACATACAGTAATCGAAAAGCATCCGTTAAACACGCACGTTTGGGATCTGTGCACTATTTTATAATACATATATTGTTATTTTTTTAACTCGACACTTGGCGACTCAGGTGAGTTTTTTAGCTCGTTGAAAATTAAATCCATAATTCTGTATGCAGAGGTAAGGGGGGTAATGGGGGAGACCTAACCTAACCTCCCGTTGACCGTCGCCTTTATACATTGTGATAGTTATTTGGGAAGTATTGGAAAACTTTAGTGCCGTTTTATTTTGGAGGGATTTTGATTTTAGGTTACTCTTAAAGGGAACACTGTCTTGGCAGGGGAACGACCTGACCTAAATTAGCCCTTCCACCCCATTTTACAAAATCCTTCTCATGCCACAGGTTAAACAGTTATTATCATCAATTACCAAAAATTATCATAATAGTGTTGTGTAACGTTTGCTCGTTTAGAATCGTGCTGGAAGATGGCCTACTGGTGGATAACGTCAGCCATATGGTACGTTGTCATCATGGTGATCGCTAACCCTTTGATGCCTACGTTGATCACCGAGGTTTTGCCCAAATTACCTTTGCTGCTCATCCGACGTTTGGGCACGATACCCATGGAAACGATTTGAAGCATTTAAAAACAATTAATACTTTTTCCTAATTCAATTTGGATTTGATTTGGAAAAAAACAAATAGAAGAAAACCTATGGCTAAGACGACGGCAAGAAGCGGACCGGACGTCCTTCGGACCGGTTTGCATTACACACGTCCACGGAAAACTGTTCATAAACAGAAACCAGGACAGTGTCCGACGACCACTTTACCGGAACGGGTCGAACCCACTATGAACGTTAAGGTATGGTAAAAAAAAAAATTAATTAAATAAATAAAAAATTGTTGTGCTTGAAATAATTATAAGCAGAGTCGGCGAACCCCCCCCCCTCCCGAAAACACTGTGCTGTTTTGTTTTTTAATTTCAACCCAGCAAATGTTTAGTGTATTTACCAACCCTAAAACTTGTGTTTTTGCCAACTCTGATTATAAGATATCCGTTTTTGTTTTTTTAACATATTATATGTTTTTTTTTGAAAATAATATATTTATGTTTGTGGTATGGCGACACCTGTGCGCTGTGCAACATTGCAAGACTGCAATTTTTTAACGCGCTTTCGGTCGTGTCAATAATAATATGTATACGTATATATACCAACTCGGTTGTGTTGCAAAATACTGCATGCTTGCAATTCTCGTGTGTTGTTGCTCAGTTCTTACTTTTACCGTACACCATAATAATAATTATCATAATACACTATACCGCTGCTTAACGAGAACAACCGTCGAATTTAATCATTGCATTATTTATTTATTTTTTAACGCTTATATAACAAAACCCGCAGATGACCTTCTGAAAAAAAAATCGCTCTCCTTAAATCGATAAGGTATTTTTTACACAAAAGAGTCCTAGGCAAAAATCAATTAGTATCTACTTATTTTAATTTTCCAAACGCCGTTTCGAGTGGTAGTATAATATTATCATTGTTATAATGGATTTCCTGGTCAATTCATTTAGGTAATGCATAGTTTAAAGTCAAGGACTGTGTGCTTATCCGCTTAGTGCCGCTGACAATGTTTGTCGTGAAAGATCATACTTTATCTGCAAAATATATTATGTACATTAAGTAAAATACATTTTCAAGGACACGTTAAGCATTTAAATAATGTATACATTATAATAATATTACACTTGTGACTTCCGTAAGATGACTGTCGAAATTTGGTTTCACAAAACAAAATAAACATAAATCATAGTATATTTAACGTCTGATCTGTTGTAGAAAAAATGCCTTCAAATTACAGTACAGTTGGCGACTTATATTCTTATTAGGTCTTACAAACCTAATTTATGATTGTTAGGTGACGCATCTAAATGTAATAGTATACTGTCTAAGAATCCGTTGGAATACTTATTCAAGTAATGCAATAATATATTCTGGGAAACACCGTGAAAAGCTTTATCGGTCGCTTGTAAATCATTTAAACGCACTAACAACAAATAATTTGCAAGTATTTAACAGTACTTGATGTACAAACAATTAGGCATGCTGTAAAATATGCGTGTGCACAGTTTTTAACTAGCATACTTATGTAGTTTAAGATTTTTAAGAATTGAAAAAAAAACAGACAAAGAGGGAGCAAACAGTTCGCGTTGTGTCATAATAATATATTGTATTGGTTTGGACCACAGCACAGTTTTCAGATGTTAACCTTTGGTTCATGACGGACAGTAATTGTTCATAATACTTATGGAATGCAGTATGTAGAACATTATATTATAATCATTATAGATCCATAAAAGTCTAATCAAACCTATTAACGTGATAACAAGCATCATATATAAATATAACACATGCAATTTTTCATTTCGTTTACATTAGAGTGGTATGGAATAGTTGAACAGTCGACGGTTTCAGTGTTTCACACTTCTAGCTATTGTTTTATTTTAATTTTTTAAATATTACTTTGGAAGTTAAAAACAATACAGCCGTGAGTAAACTTGTTTAATACCAAATATTTCAGTTTTAAATCCAGCATAAATAAATTCAAAATTTAAAGGAAAAAAATACATAATATACATATATTGTTACTTTGGGGTTTGTAAGCTTTAAAAATAATTGTTGTTTAATCTAAGAAAATTTTAAAAATATTGCTAAAATCAATAAGTTCGCTTGGCCGTTTTTATCGTTTTAATAATAATATTATGATATTAAAAGTATAAACATATTACAATATAGTTTTTATCATCAAATTAAATAGGTTATGATGCAAAGTGCAATACTGAATACATAATTGAACCTGTAATACCGGATTATTGTTACTGTTTTCTCCGTTTTCTTTAGTATTTTCTTTTAACATTTTTGGCAGAGAGTAATGAAAATCTTTTATACAAAATGCTTAATTAAAAACGAATTTTGTGTGTTTTATTTTCTTTATATTTTGAACCTAGGTCCATTCTACATTTTATAAAATGCATTATCAATCAACTGCAACAACCAGTTTTTCAACGTTCAATGAACAGTAGAATGTTGTTTATAAGAGAAAATTGCTTAATTGGCGCAACTTGAATTGTCTAATCACTCTTTATCCACCAAAATATATTAACTTATGCGTGTAAATTAAATTATAACAATTCAACGTAATTTTTTTACATTTTCAAATATTAATGGCAATTTACCTACTCGGAGGTGGAAAATAAAACGTTTCCAAGCTGTGAGCAGTTTTTTTCAAAATGATTTATTACTATAAACATTAAACAATTTTCTTTTAAAATTAAATCAGACGGTAATAATAGATATTACATGATATTTGGTTCAATAAAGTATTTACATAACTGAAATTAATAACGGTGACCTAGTAATGTATGAGTAGTTTTATCTTCTAGTACTTAAATGCATTTGAAAAGTATATTAAATAACGATAATACATAGTTGATCATGACTAGTTCTACATCAAAACTTGTATTGTGCAATTCATAATATTTTGCAAGGTATCTTTTTAAGATGTTAGAAATTATATAACTTATAAAAAGTAAATAATAAAAGTTTTCCGTTATTTCTTTAAATTTACCAATCGAAGGCGCCATTTAAATTAGAAGAAATTGAACAAACCAAACAGGTTCCTTTTTTTGTTAAACAACGGTTAGGTAGTTACAAACCAGTTACACACAAACAGTTACAAACCAACCTGCCGTTATCATAATGCCGCCTTTAATCATTGTAGTTATAATAAACATTGTAAGTTTTGGCTTGATGACGTTTTTAATCCCTGAATTTTCAACTCAAATCTAGTGTAATTTTTTTTTAGTCAAATTATTATTATTTCTTATATCAGTTACATGTACTTTAAACTTACGTGTTCCCCAGTAAAAAAAATATTTATGTAACAAAAAACCTTAAGGAAATAATATTATCATAAACAATAATGTATCCTAAATAGTTTTAATTTTCTAGACCAATAATAATCGAGTTTTGCTTTTAGTAACAACACCAGTGTATAATTGGCGTAGTTAAAATTATTATTTTTTATGTACTTGGCATGCTATTTATTCGCTGATAAAAATAAAACAAAAACGATTAAAACGCATATTATGAAAACAAAATAATAAACTATTTTTACGTTTTGATTTTAATTCTTTTACATCAAAATCATATTATTTGAAGTGTTTTTTTTTTTAGTCAAAATATTATAACCAATCTCCTTCTCACCAAACTTGTACTCTATTAAAACTTATAATTTTTAAGAACATTTCACAGTTGTTTTTTTAATAAATAAAATTTAAAGCAATATAAAGCTTGTTATATTTGGTTGTTTTGGTGGAGGGGAGTAACCTAATTGTACAGTAGGTTTTTTTAAGCCAGACGAAACCGGCTCTAAAACAACTCAACACCTCAAGCATATTCAATAAGATTTTGGTTTGTGTGTTTTCAGATTAGAGCAGCTTGCGTCCTAGTCATGTTCCATATGCTGGCGGCGCTGCCCGTGGCCCAACTGGCCGCCGTCAAAATGGCCCGCGTGCCCCGCGTCTACAACGCCGTCATCACCAGCGAGCAACAGCTGTTGCCCAGCCAAGTGGATCCGGTGGTGACGCCCGTGCTCCGGCCTTTGCCGTTTTTCGTCATCAACTGGCCCGTGTCGTCCGGCACTTCGTACTATTCGTATCAGACGTCGTCCGGCGTGGAGGCCAACTCTCACGGACTTGTAGACGCTGCCGGACCGGTCGAGTCCGATGGCCCGACCGGCGGAGACGACCTGGGAGACGCCACCGCCGTCGTCAAGAACAACAGGCCCCTTGACACGGACGTGCCGGACGTACCGCCGCCGCCGCTCAGGCCCACCAAGGCCGGAAAACAAGAACGGAAAAAAACGGAAGAGTTCCCGCCCGCCCCCGTCGGTTTCGCCATTTGAAAACGGCCCACTTATAGACTATGCCCATAAGTCCCTCGGCACTTTATTAATTATTGTTTTTTTTTTAAATTAATTAATTTAAATTCAATGTACTGTAAATGGTTTGTTTCTTTATTACTAGAAAAAGAATCTAACCTAACATGTTCTACGTTTTTCAACTCACACTTCTTCCCAATTCCATTTAGCCAAAGGCCTAATTGAAAACACATTTTCAAAATTAAAAAACCACCCGTCAATGCAAACTTACAATATTATATTTTTAATTTAAAAAATAAAAAAAGCCGACCCAGTTAAGTTACTTTTGAGTGAGAATACATACAGTACCATATTTTTGGGCGGTCTTCTTCGAATAGATTCGAGCTCAGATCAAACACACAAAAACTCCTTTTTCTTTTTGTAGTTTATAATGAATGTTCAATATACATGTAATTACAGTCTACATAGGTCTAAGGGCTCGTATTTCAAACGTGTGCGGTATTATTCGATGTCCTCGTTGGCGACATGATCGTTTTCCGAACTGTTACACATATTTTGTACATTGTGATATTATATTCGTGTAAACCGTTTGTCGTTATAATTGTTTAGTCATATAGTTGATTGTATAATAATTAATGTTAGTTTCCTAATCAAAATCTCTATGATCAAATAGACGTGTCGTTTATATTATTAAATATAAGTCTGTTAAACGTAACGTGTTAATCATTATAATATAATAAAATATTCATTGTATATATATATATATTAATTTTTATGTAAATCAAAATAAAATCATTGACGTTTGTAAAACGATATTGATTAAGATCTTGTGCGAACTACGATTCATTTCAACTGTGTGTTATAATTTGTAGATAATAAAATATATTGTGTTTTGTTCAAACGACGTTATTATAAGAATAAACAACTTATGATCAATAAATGTCTAACGAGGAGTTGTATTTTTTTCCATGACTATAATGTGATACACTGCTGTTCCTTACTAAATTATTTTTCATTGAACGTTTTTTCATAGTTATCGTCAATTTATGTCTTGTTATCTAAGATAAAACTGTTTTATTGTTGCCTATACTATGCCCCTTTAATAGTTTTGCAATTGCTTTGTTTTTGCGAAAAGAAAATAGTGATTTTTTTTCGACCAGTATGTTTTATAAAAAAAATAAAATACACCAATAACTTTACTGTACAAGTACTTTACTTGTTTGATACCCAATCTAAGTACATTTTTTAATTTTCGTGTTTAATGTTATTGTAAAAATGATTAAAAAACTTATAAAATTGCAATTTTTCAAATAGAAGTAATTAATTCACTAAAAATAATTTTAAAATTGTTCCAAAATCGATACCTTGTAAATGTTAGGAAGAATTCGGATGCTTTTTCAAACCGTTAACCTGAGTATTCTTTGTAACATTTAGAAGTAGAGCCGTATGTTTTAGTACACAAAAGTAAGGCTTGTATGCGTTATAAAAATTGAGAAAAAAAAATAGTATCAAAATAGATCTCTCTTTGTTGTGTTAATATGTGAGTTTACATATTTTAGCATAATGTTAAGATTTAATGAAAAATTGCCTATACAATGCGCCTTAATAGATGCTAACGTAGAGGCTCCCTAATAACTTTACAATATTGTTTGTCATAATGTCATTTTTTTTACACGATAAAAATAGTGTGGTTATTACCGGACACGTTTAGGCAACCTAACCTAACTCGATTTGCCAAAAATTGACTTGCTCCTTTTTACCCGCACACCGTTCAATTGTATATTTAATAAGTACATCAAGTTTTATAAATATGTATGTTGTGTCTTAGGTGTGTATATATGAGATAACCGGGAGGTGTGGCGCAGTGGACATCTCAGGTGCCGCATGGCACTTGAGGTTAAGCTGTGTCCGTTGCTGCTTGATCCCGGATGGGTGACCACCCGGGATTTTTTAGCGGCGACCCACACTATCAACCCCGGATGCATGGCTGAAATGCCTCATGCACCCCGGCGACCGAACTGGCATAAAGTTAGCCATAGCCACTCCCGGTCAATACGTCAATAAGCATATTTTATATTTTTTATATATGAGATTATAACACTATTTTTAAGGGTTTTTTTTTATTATAAAATAATAATATATGTTGTATACATATAAACTCGTTTCAAAAAAGATCACAATAGTTATAATATTATACATAATAATAATAATAATAATAATAATAATAATAATAATAATAATAATTTTAAATAATTATAATCAATAAACCTCTTTTTAGTTGTTTGTAGTTGTTTAGGGTCTCGGGACGGTTGGGATTTCATGATATGTATATGTGTCCATCTGTCGGTTTCTACAGTCGTCCGTCGAAGACTACTCTTAACCCTTCTTGGATTAAAACTTTTTTTAACGTACAATTTATTAAGTGTGATTATTTTTAAAAAAATGGCATTTGAAGTTTCGGTGTATGGATGACATTCTAATGCAATGGCGACAATCTTAGGCCTTGGCGCTAACCGATGCCGTTTCTGTGGTGCTAGTGGTAGTGCTGACCGTGTCTGCGCTGGTCACCGAAGGGCTGCTCGATTCGACAGATGCGACCTGGGAAGCAAAGTCGTAGGTCTTAAGTCCTTGTGGGTTGATCTTAGGCTCTACCAAACCGGGGTACGGCACGTGGGCGTTGGTGTATTTGAACACTTGGCCGTGGAACGGATGGTCTTTGGAAGCGATGGACACGGGAGTGACGGATTTGATTGTCTGGATGGACGGCACGTTGTCGGTTGGCAACAGTGAAGGAGAACCTTCGATCAAGTACCCTTGCCGGAACAGAGAGCCGAAATCTGTGAACGCCGTTTCGGGCGAGTATGTGTCCAAGGCGGCTTGCCCGGAGTAGGCGGTTATTGACGGATGGTTGAAAAATTTGCTGCTGTCCAACGGTAAGCTGCTCGACGGATCATAGCTAAAAAGAAGAGAAAACAAATCAGAAAACTTACAGCCGTCTCCTTCTAGTTGTATCATTTGTATATTGTTATAACAAATCTAAATTGAAAAAAAGTTATATTCATTAATCTATTGTAGGGTTAAAAATATAATCCAATATAATGAACCCTTTCAACGGATATACTAAAAAATAGTACAAGTCAGAACGTTATTTTTGATTTGCAGAACCGTGTGATAATAATATATTAGGTCAAACTCATAATAGCATAGAGACAAAATTTACAATAAAAAGATACAAAGGCAAACACGTCCTTTTATGGAGCGAAAGTTATATTTTCAATGTATGTACGACCTACCATTGTATCGTTTCTTGCGACATAGGTTAAAGAAAATCCAAGAATTATGTGAGTGAATTGTTAAACATAAGTAAATAGCAATAATTTAGAAAACAAAAGTTTAAGTATAATTGTTTATGAACCCCACCTTGACCAACTTTTGGCTACTAAACCGCTGAACCGATTTCGTCATGTAGTAAGTCTATGGATCAAATATTGTACCTAAATCCTAATCGAGAAGAACATCCAAAAACTTGGGATGTTTTGCTACTTAAAATTACACCCTACTGTGTTGAGTTTTTTTTTTATAATATTATGTAGTTTTCTCCAGTTTTTATTTACAACCATTGTTTAACTATTTTCAATATTAACACCTAGAGCATGACGATAGACATTTTCGGCATGCCACGCCATCCTGTAATGTTACTTTTATTTGGTTGGTTTTGGTGGCCATGCAAAGGATTACAACTATCGATGGTGCTTACAGTGTGGGCAGTCCAGAGAAAGACGAACCGTCTTGGATTATTTGCACGGTATTACTCTTTTTCGGTGCTTCTACGGGTGGTTCGTTTCGTGCACCGGATTGACTGGTGTCTTTTTTCTCTGGACCATCATCGGATGTTGTCGAGGACACGGTGCTACTTAGCGAAGCACTATTACTGCTGCTGCTGATACTGGTTGTGCTGCTGCTGCTACTTTCGGTTGTCACGGTATTGTCCGAAGCGGGTGCTTCGCCGTTCTGGACGCCCTTGACTTGGGCACCGTTGTTGGAGATTGCGACCGACTCCTGTTGAATGTTTCCGCCGAGGTTATTGAACGCACTTAGGCCCGCCCCCGCAAAGCTAACGGGGTCGTAGTAAGGCAAGTACAACGGCTGTTGTTGTTGTAGGTCGAGATTTTGCGCAAAGGCCGCGAATCCGGGTTGGCCGAATAGACTCGCCGCACTTGGGTCTGACACGGATACGACAGGCGCGACCAGTCCGTTTTGCAATGCCGCCGGGAGTGCTGTAAATAACACGAGAAATATTATGAATGAAACGTAGAATAATGTTTTTAATAAAAAGAAACACAAGAGTGGCCCGTAAAACAATCACGGTTTTTGGTCCAACAGACCTCATGCAATCCCCTTAATGGTAAAACTATTTACAGCTATTTCGCTTACCAACGCGCGTTCTCTAACCGAATGAACTATTTATTAATAACAAAAATATTAACGCTATGTAATCATGTTTATGGAATATACGTCCAACACATATAATACCGGTGAACCCACTTTTATAGTTTTTTTTTTTTCAATTGTCGGCGGTGACGTGCAAATTCTTTAGCCGGTCTATTATTGCAAAATTAATTATCTTAGAACGGTACATTGGTTCGGTGCGTTAATTACATGCGCTATTCTTTATGACTACTCCTAGACAAGTTAAATAGTTTTTAATTAATAGGCCTGGCTGTACCTGGTACACGCTATGGGCTAATAAGCATATAGCAGGTATATATTATTACACGTATTGCTACTTGCTGGTATATACTATAACTATAGTATTCAATGAATACGATATGAGGCTCTATAATAAAAAAAATATATTTATCATTACGACCTTATTTAGATATGCGAAATTGAACTTTCTCCGATAATCTCCAAAGAGTTCAGCCAAATAAGATGAAAGATCTTAACAGCGTCCTTTAAATTATCATATTACTTGGCAATGACTTTTAACTTTGTGTACATTATTTTATTATTTGGCAATTCAATGGTTGGATTCCATTCGTCATTTTGATAAGTATCCACTGGAAAGCGTGTGGGCGAAAATTAATTAACAGCACCAGTCACCACCAATGCCTTACTAACGAAATATTTTTAAATTACTCACAGCAACATTGCACCAAGAAATTGCAGTTAAAATGGAAATTCAAATGTAGTCAAATTATAGACACAAAAATACCTGATGCTATCAATAGAACTGTACGGATTTTTAATTTGTATTGATGTAACTTGGCTGAAGATCTTTCGCTTGGAGTAAAATAGTCTTAAAATAATCACACCCGACACTATACCTTTTCAGCGTTTGTCCAGCGACCTACTCACAGGTTACCTCGAGGTTTCAATCGAGTGCCATTGGGTTAGTTTGTAACAATTATTATTATTTTTATATCTGTCTAAAGTTCAATTACCGCCGTTGACGAGCACTGGTTGTTTGTCAGCAGGTTCTGCTGGCTTGTCTCCTATGATCTCTTCGGATTTTTCAACCGTCGCGGTTTCTGTTGGCGCCGACGGAGCAGAATCACCGACTACCGCCGTCGACTCGTTGGAGTTTTCGTCAGTGCTTCCGCTCGAGCTGTCGCCGACTTGTTCGACTATCACCGGCGTGAACTCTTTCGGCTCTTGAGACGCGTTTTCTTGGACTTGCAGACCTTGGCCGTTTACAGCACCTTCGTTACCGGCATTGGGTTCGTTGACCCCTTCCCCGGTGGCCACGACGGATTGTTCTTGGTTAGGTTGTTGGCCCGTTGTATCGTCAGCCGCTGGTGCTTCATTGTTGTCCGAAACTTCGGAGGCGGCGGTGGAGGTCGTGCCGGCGTTGGCCTCCTCCTGCGACGGTGAACTGTTGGCTTGTTCTGACTTGAGTGTGTCGTCGGCGGTAGGCAACGTAGACGATGCCACCGATGGCTGTTGGTTTGTGACCTCTGTGGATCGCGACGTTGCCGAACCTCCTTGAACAGTGGTTGGGGTAACGGGTGCGCGGAATCTCTCGTCGATACCTTGGCTTTTGATCGTAGAGCTACCGAGGGCCGGTTCGGCCTTGCCGAATGTCGGAGCTTGCGGGAAAGACTGTAAAAAAAAAATTTGAAAAATACAATTATAAAGTAACCCTATAATATTAATAGACCCTGCAAATACATTGTGATTTGAAATAGAACGCACTCTGAATAAAATGGATCCTCTCTGATGTAGACATATTTTATCTAAAAAATGGCTTTATTCTTTGCATAAAAAAATCAAACACTGACTTTCATAAAATCAATAATATCCTTTATAAATTATACACACGAATAAATAGTTTAATAAAAAATATCTATCTTGTGATATTTAAAGTAAACAAGTATGATTTATCATTAATTGTTATCCCTATTGGTTGTATTTTACATATTTTTCATTATGATTGCCAAAAAAATCCGTTAATGTACGTCTAAGAATAACCAACTAAAACACTTGTGTCTAAAAATTGGCAATTTACGTTTAGAATTTAACATGTCGAGTGAGTCGCATCCCACTATTTTTACGAACATGATTTAATAAAAAAAAAATTAGTCACCTTTGAAAATTGCTGGGACAAAATAGATTTTATATAGATATTCTATTTCTAAGAACTGATCAGATCAGGTATTAGACGGTGTGGTCTGACACTGAATTGAAAGCGCGTTTATTTTTTAAGGAAATGATCTCCAAACACAATGAAAGAAACAGATGGACTATCGCAGATTGTTTTGTTAAGTATCGCGTGATGTATGATTGTTGTGTGGACAGACACAAATGGTAACTCAATAATCACGTGAAAAATGATCTCAGTACACTTCGACATCACTCACAAACAAAACGCTTAGAGTTCAGGGTCATGGTTTTTTACAATAGAAAACGAAAAAACACCTGGTTGGACCAACTAAGAGTTTTGATTTTAAATTTACTCGTCCGAATTTCCAAAAATAAAAACCATGCCCATACATTCGTTTTCATCTGAACCCAGCGTGCATTTGTACATAAATACCTAATCACTTCCATACATGGAGAACTAATGGTCACGAACAGGAAAGTAAAACAATAATAGTTCTTATTGTTATGTCACGAGTATTTCTTTTGTTAGATTTTTTTTCCGTTTCAAAAGTATTTCACAAAGGTTATTAGACTCTTCCTAATGATAATAATGGTATTTTACGTTAATCGGATGATAATATTTTGCAAGCAAGTCAAGTTGGTCAATTTTACCTAATAAATATCCGGCTTCAGAAACACCTCTTTCTTATTGCGTCTTTTTACCGAGGAGTTTAGTTCGTAAATAATACTTATACATAATAATAAAATAGGTAACCCGACATACCTGGATCTGTGGGTATGGCTGATATTGTGGAAATCCGAATTGTGAATATCCAAAGGCTCCGGGGCTGGGGAAGTTGAAGTTTTTGAAAATCGTCTCGGTCGGAATGATCGGTTGGCCGAACACGGCGGCGTCTTTGGGCTTGGAGTTTTTGAGGTTATGGTCGAAAGGCACGGTGGCCGAAGAGAACTCGGGTCCGTGATATGCGTTGACGTTGTGTTCTTGGAAATATTTGCCGGGCAAGGGGAAGTTGGCAGCGGCTCCGGGTACGGTTTTGTACGTCTTCTTTGCGCCGACTTTGGCCGGACCGAAACCGGACTGCGCCTGAACAGGTGCCGGGAACGGATGGAATCCTAAGGGAGTCTGGTCGGCACCACCGAAACGGTACGAAGCCTGTGGATACGGTGCTGGACCGGGATAGCCGCCTCCGTGGCCCGGATAGACCACTGGTCCGGGATATCCGGGATAAGGACCGAACTGTTGGACGTTGCTCCCGAACGGTCCGCCGTGCTGGAAATGTTGAAAAGGTTGTCTGAACTGATCGAATGACGGACCGTTGAATTTTGCTGCTACGTTTTTCAGCTGATTAGGCACCGCGACCGACTTGAAATGTTGTCCTGGCTATTGCGAAAAAAACGAAACAATGCATATTTTTTTAATAATTTTAGCCTATCACATGAAGGGATTATTCTGCTGTTTGGATACTATATATTTTCTACAGTTATTACCTGGTTTGTGATAGGCGCGTGCAGAGCTTTACCAAACTGGTCGAACCCGGAAAAATCAAACGCCCCACTGTAAGTCGTGGCGCATAAGACGGTCAATCCTAACACAATGGTGACCTAATCAAACAACATAAATGTAAGTGCAAACATATAAAACACACAAACGAGTAAATAAGGTTTCGACCTTCGATTTTAAACGAGCATTTATTGACACTGAAGGTTTGAAGGGATACGTTTTTTATGTGCATTCGTCTCACGTATTTTTTTTTACTCTTACGTCTTAGCATTACAATGTTTTAATTGATGTTTTGTTTAAAGTACATCCGCCGTAATATGTGATTTATGGCGTTTTTTTAAATACGAAATTGAGTAGGTAAATATTAACTATTGTAAGTAGTATATCATTGTCGAGTTTAGTATAGCGTAATAGGATTACTTGTATGAAGACCTTGAATGAACCGCTTCAAATATATTATAATAAAAAAAAAATAAATTTTAATATTAAAATTATTTTATAACAAAGATTATCCAATAGTTATTGTAGTCCGCCCAGAAGAAATTTGTTTATTTAACATATTATTAAAAGATTAATTAAACTGGTTTGCGTAAGTTGAACATAAGCCAATACAATAAGTGGTTTACATTTGAAATACAATTCATGTTAGGTGATAATAAACAAAAGAGTTTTACTTGTAGTGTCAGAATTATTTAAATATATTTTACTGGACAATTATTATAGTGTTTCATAAAAACAACTTTAAATGGACTAACTTATTTTATCCGATTAATATTGATTGAAATTATAATAGAAATTTAATTTTGTTTTTACTTGTGTATCTATTATAATATATTAACAAATTTAATTATTGAATAAACCCAATTTGTTCACCTTTTTTTTAATGGGACCCAACAAATATGTTATTAAATTAAGTTTTACTATTACTTATTAGCGACGACTCTGATGGGCCCCATTTTTTGTTGTTTTTTTTTTTTGTAACTTAAATAACTAGATGGGGTAAACGAATCTATTTCTGGTCACATTATGTTCTACAATAGTATGAATACGTTCACCAGTAATTAGCAGGTACATAAACGCACATAAAGGTCGCGCATTGCTCGCAGGCATTTCTCATTTCACAAGGGTAACTTATATTACAATTATTTTTCATAATGGTACTACTTAGAGTCGAACAAGCTATAATATAATAATACAATGTTTTGCGGTCGAACGTTGGCTTTTCTTCGGTCAGTAGTAAATCGTTCAGTTTCTAACCTTGACCTTGGGGTATAGTATTATTGTACAAATAGAAATAATTATTTCCATTTAAAAAATCACAAGAAAAGCAAAAATATTCCAAACACATTGAAATCGATTTCTTTTGAGGAGACCGATAGTCCGATTGCATTCGATTTGAACCGTTTGGATAAATCAAAGTTTAGCGGGAACAAAAGTCAAAAATAAAATGCTCACTGTCAATTAAGACGAATTGTTAATGGATTTTCAAAATCGACCTTTGACGGTTGTGGTAAAAAAAAAAGCGATCCGCCAAACATTCAATTATTTTCATAATGTCTGTCATCGACTGAACGTCAGACGACGAAACGTTCAAATCATCTGACCATTTTTTTGGCACGGCATTTGCTCAACAGTTTTTTATATTTTATTTCAATACTAAAATATAATTGATGGCCTATGATTACTATATAATAACAGCTACATAATAAGACTCACCAAAATATAATAATGGCAGTTTGAATAAAATTTTCCGTTTATTGGTTAAACAACTCTTCGGCAAATAAACGATGTGTTCTTATTTGAATATATATATATTATTTTTTTGTAATCAGAAAACAAACTATAATTAATTTTCGCCTTGAAATAAAACCGAACGTTACAATTTATCATGGCGGAAGTCTTTATACCATTATCTGACCGTACATCGACGCCTATCTGGACGGTTGGTTATTTACATGTTATCATAACAATCTAGATTGAGGTGCTCAATGGCGTTTTTGAAAAATAATAATAATAGGTACTTTTCGATTCACCGAGAATTCTAAAAAAAACACATTAATTTTACTCTGTTTTTGACACTACAAGCCCGTACAAACAAAACCATTAGACTTTCCTGTTTTAAACCGATTTGTACTGTCTGTAGGTGGGCGATTCTATAATTCATTGTAATAACGCCTTCGTTAAATGTAAAAAAAAAACGTTTGCTCGTTGCACAAACAATCGGTTTGCAACAGAATTTTGTAAAATCGTTTTTTAGCTCTGTTCAACAAAGGAACCGAATTCCCTACAAATAAAGCTTGAGTTCAGTTTCCTAAATGACTTACCAAACAGACTGGGCCAGTGGAAAATTCATAATACATTTAAAAATGGTTTAACATCATAAAAAAAAACTGTATTTTTAGTAATCGAGTAAATACTATCAACCCTGATCGTCTGCGGATCTTAATAACAAATAAAACAATATAATGAACATATTTCTCAGACATATGTTGCCTGTTGATTCATTCACGGGTATCAACCTGGAAATTGAATACGGTACAAGTGGGATTTCCCCCTTTTTTTTAGTTTTCCCTTAATAAAAAACACGTTTGACTACAGACTTTTAAGAAAACTGTATGCGCTACAGTCCCATTCTAGATTTACATTCAGTCTAATTTTCAGACCTAAAATTACAAAGCTACGCTCAAAAAAGTGTAAATAAGATAAAAAATGTCTAACCCTTCTAGGGTAAAGGTTTATAGTAGTTTTTTCGTTCGATGATGTATATCTAGAAAATATACCACAAAAGTTCAGACAGAATAAGATTATTTTTCCAAAAATGTGTAATTTTTATTTTCTCAATTTTTAAGGGAAAAGTTAGCACTTACAGCCGGTAACTAAACGTTTTCTACAACAAATGTTGGATATTTTGCCCTTATCTGTTTACAATTTATGCCATTTGGCACTACGCATATTGAATAAATGCAATTCACCGAAACCGACCAGTTTATGGGAACATCACAAGACAACGATTGCGTTAAATATTAAGTATTAGGCGTAAGTATTTCAATACAAAGATGCCGTGCTACCATGTGGGAATTAAGTATTATCCATACACGGTTCGCTGAACAAAGCTGTAACATTTCACAAGACTGTTCGGTGGAAGTTAATAAATTATAATCATATATAATACAGCATTCAGAGATGGCTACACCGAAAACGCAACACTGGGGATTACAGAATTCTAGTTTTTGGACTATAATAATGTATGGCGCAATTAAATAAACCTTATGTTATCAATCAACGACATTGACTTGATGGTAGATATTTTGTGTTAAAATAAATGTATATGTTGTATGTTTTTTTTTACACTGAACTCTTATCCCTGTTAATATAGTATCAGCAGTCTATACTCATATCTCGGTGGAAAAAAATCAAATATGATGCATTAAGTATTCAATAAAATGTGTGTATTCAAATGTAATAGTCGACTGGAAATAAGTTTCATAAAAAAAATATATAAGGCAATATTTAAACTTTTAATTGTAAACTTGATATTTTTTATCAATTCAATTCAGTTAAAATGAAATACAATTTTGAGTAGATTTTTAAACAAGTTAAAAATCTAAAATGTGTGTTTAAAAAAGTCTCGACTTTTCGACGTCCTACTTAAATGTATTAATAAAAAAATAATTTTTCTAAAACATAATAACACACTTAAAAAAAAATGTATTTAAAAAAAAAAAAAAAATACTTACTCCCATTGTACGGTACGTTAGTCTGTGGGAGACTAGTGGATGACACGAAGGATGAAATGATAATGCGAGAACGCTATTTCGGCGCCGGTCACTATACAACTGGTTCAGGATCAATATGCGATTTATTATATTGTATTATTTAATACCGGTTTTTATGTTTATACAGTAATTAAGTTAAGCTGGCAAGGAAAACAGATTACCGCTCGTGTGTGTGTGTAGTAAAAAGAAAAAAACCGCACACTCAGACCAAAGCCTGTCGTTGGCAGGTAACGTACGACAGCTCGATGGTGAACCGGTAGGGAGATTGTACTGTGAGCACCTGAGTGTGTGTGTGTGAGTGTACCTATGTATGTATAAGATGCTGTCGGCATATTATTACTCGGTTTTAATATACTTCTTCTGTTGTGTGCACCGACGAGACACTCACTCGACAAAAGACAAGGACGTCCGCCGCAAATCTTAGGGTTTAAGCCGAAAACCGGCAGAGCTGTGATAATCCGTCGGCGTTAAAGTCTAATAATAATATTGTCCTTATAATATTTTAAAGACGTGCAGACAGGCCCGACATAGTATTATTGTCTTGACATAGGGCACCGCGTAAACACAAACATGACATTTTTAGCACGGTGCATATTGTGATATTTAAAAGGTGACAGAAACAATAATATTTTCCAAGACACCATTAACGCCGAGGACGCCTATTTAGTTATTACCGCAATACCGAAAGTTGTCTGTTCGTATCCAAAACACATTAGTTCTTACGACATCGCCTCTTGAATAAATACAACAAGTAGGCACGCTAAACGTTGTGCCGATCACTGCAATTTAGTACATTTTAATTTTGTTTGTCGTTTACTATGGTGACTTGCTGTATTCCCATTCCACTTATGAATTACACGTTATTTGATTTGCCAGTGTTATAAATTTAATGACCCGACTATTGCATTATAGTAAATGATACTTCAACTAGTTCACAAAGAACAAAAGATTGTTCACAATAATATTATCGAGTAGTTAGTTTAATAATGTAATGGCTAGTCATTGTTGTGTAATGAAAAAAGTGGTGTTTTTTTTATTTTTAAAACAGTAATTTAAGAAAACTAAATGTTCCCTCTTAAAGTCTACAAGTAATTTGCACATTTTCATAAAGTCTATGATTTGTCGACTATGTCGTTGACAATGTTATGCAATCTGGTATCTGTTATAATTAAAAAAAAAAAAATAGATCATCGGTAATAAAAATATAATTAATACGTTTGATCGTTAAAAAATAAATATTCCAAAAGCGTCACCTTGCGAGTGACATCGAAATGAGTTGTTTATTTAATTAGAACCTGGAAATTTACTTTACACGGTATACAAGACACGTTGACTCATATTATACTCATAATGTGCCATAATTTATATCCAATATCCACTTGTAATTGATTATTGCAAGGTTAAAATTAGATTCTTTGCGTAAGATCTTCAAAGAAATATTAGGTAATTACCAAATTTCCATTGGTCATAGTGATTAATCGAAAATCGTGTTTAGTTTAGATATATAAAGAGAGTTATATCATACATGTATTGTCACCTCCAAACCAGTCAACGCCCATAAAAAAAATATAGTTTCATTTTTTTATTAAAATCTACTTGCATTCGTGCAAAAAAATGAGACAAAATCAATACTTCAAATACACAAACTTGTTAATCCAACCAGTTTAAGTTTATTAATTAATGTTCGTGTATGGTTATTTTATTCGGTTTTATAATTTTATTATGTTCATATTGACTGATTATAAGCTCACATATAATGGTCATTTTTTAATTTTTTCATAGTTTTACAACAGGTATTTGTGCTGGGTGGCAATTGATCTTGGTTCACAAAATATTTAAAATGTAAGAGGTTAATAAAATATGTAGTAAGTTCGTAAATGCTAAAAAAAAAAATTAGGTGTATTTCAAACATATTAAAATAAGCGATTTATGTTATGTTATTTACTACACTATTTCATAACTCGTATTGTGTTCAGTCGAGTATTTTTTTTATTTATTATTCAAATAAAATATAATTTCTTGCGATAACTGTAGTGCAGTAGTAGCCGTAGGTACAGCTGTAAAATGTCACTGACGCATAAATGAATACAAATTAAGAGTAACATCTTTACAATGAAAACGAGTCTTGTTGTTGTTTTCATCTAGTTAAAATATTCAAAAACCCCTAAACGTACTTTGGTTATTTCACGAGTATTAATGGTGAATCAACAGAATAACCATGACATATTATTTTATGCTAGACTAATTTACCACCACCACTACTACAACTATAAACCAGTAATAATAACAATATTGAAATAACGAAAATCCATTAAAATCTAATATCATATACATACAAAATAAAGTGTGCTATTCAATTGTCTAGATTGAAAATAATAGGGTTTTGGTTTTATTACCAACACAAGTATATTGGAGCAGTTATTATTTTTACATACATAACATATGAAAAATTGTAAAATCATACATTACGATTATTAACTTTATTTTTATATTGATATAAAAATAACAAAAAAAGCCTATCTCCTAAACAATAGGTGTGGTTAGGTGATTTCATATAATTTTTAGAAAAAATGCATTTAAACAATTTTAATAATAGATTGCTGAATATGTCCAGTCATTAATGGATTGTATATAATATATGCTGATTGTAACATTTAACTTTTATCGTTATATTTTATTATAATTGAGTTGGGTTTAGTAATTAGTGAAAAAAAATAGCATTTAATTTGCACACCCAGCCTTATTTATGGTTTTAGTAGCACATGTAAAACTTGCAATAGTTTTTTTTGTACTATTAAATCTGGTTGCGTTAACGTTCATTATAATATGTTTACAGCGAGCTATTAAATCACTAATGGGTTCTTAAAGTTTAAACATAACTTAGTGGCCCATAATTTTTGGTCCATTAAATTTTTAAGAACAGTTACATCTTTATTATTTTTTTTTATGTAACATGGTTATTTAGTTATCAGTTTTTCAACAACAAAAATAGGAGATATTTGATTTTGATGAATTTTTCATTAATATTTTATCAAATAGGAGAAATTTGTTTTTATAAGCTTAAATTCTAAAATATTATAAACTTATAAGATTAGTATTCGGTAAATAATCAACAAATTTGTATAAAAACACAGATATACAAACAATAGACTCAATAATAGTATTTTGTGTTTGAATGGATTTTCAAGTTGTAATCATAACCTAAAAAATATCATACTTCTTTCTAGGAAGAGGATCGATGTATATTTTTAATTACCCGTGTTGTTATTGTGCTCAATCCCCACACAATCAGAATGACACGAATTCATTGGAATATTTCCATAATTCCATATTATATTAACTCCAAACCATACATGGAACATTGATCATATTTTGTTTCCCCATCGCCGAAGGTAGTTATGGAAACTTGTGGCCGTCGTCCGTGTAGGTAAATAGTACAGTGTGGTTATTATCCAGGAAACCACTGGAGCGAATGCTTTATGCAGTGTTTTATACTTATTATATTGTCTGTATATTATTATGGTATTACAATATTATGGTTTTGATGTTACAATAACCATGGCGACCGGCATAGTGTTGTACATTGAAACGGTATCGTGTACATAATATACTTGTAAGTTAAATTCGCTTGTAAAATTTGTCTGTTTTAATATTTTTTTTTAGTGTTCGTAGTATGGTCTACAAGAAAAAGACAGATGCGGCTAAAAAAAAAGTGAAAAAGATGTCGACAATCAACACAAAGGTAATGGCCAACTCTACAAAATCGGTAAACCCACACGGTCGTTTAACTTGGAAAATACTTTCTTCCTACAACCTACTGTTGTTAACGACTATTTATTAATTTATCACAATATGAAGAGTTAATAGCGGTCCAACGTGTTCCAAGTGCGAAAGTATACAAATTTAAATTAATTATTTGATTTAGATTTTATTCGTTACTGGAAACACTTTAACTTATTTTTAAATGTTAAATATGATTGATTTTTTATAAAAAACTATTCCTCAATATTATCAATTATACAAAAAAAATTCCCGTAACGCCTGAAATATGAATAAAATAAAAAAGTTCGATTTTTATCCTTTGGCACATAGAACGTTTGACAAATTTACTGTTCACATACACAATATTAGCTCATGTCTTGCAATTTCTATAGTCGACCGCTCTTTCCTCTATCATCATAGCTATTAATTAATTGTTCAAAGCAATACTAATTGTAGGCTAAATATAATTTTACAATATATAAGAAGCACGTTAGAGTAATGAAATACACTGGAGTGAATTTAATTTTAAGACAAATTGTAGAGGCTTAGTAAAAATGTAAGCCTGGCCATTTAAAAAAAATGTCTGTTATACAATATTATATTATGATGTGATCAATTAATTTAATAATGTACACGACACTTAATTACCAACTTAAATTACCTCATCAAAACTAAAAAATAGTTTGAAAAATAATGAAATTTAAAATTCGTCACGCTTTGAAACAAAATATTATATATTCGAAATATAATTGAAAAACCGTCATTGTTTTTATGACTTGAGCTCCTATTTTTAGCATAGTTAACGGTCGCGTTTTTAAGTGTACATCAAAATTATAAATACGCATACATACATAACATAATAAACATTTGTTCGTGTTCAAAACGTTCAGTAAATAATGTTAACGCTGTCGCCAAGTCGGATAACATTCGCTGTGCCATTAATTTTGGAAATATTTATAAGCGCATAATCATGTTTTCTTTTTCGTCACTTGATAGGTGCGTGTACGTTTTTTTCTTCTGATAATTACAACAACTCGTTTTTCTGAATATCGGTTTGTTTTTAAACTATCTCTGTGTTAGTAAAATAATTTGACGAGCAAGCCAAAGTCCGTGACAACCTTGTCAAGTCGTCAGAATATTACCAAGTTCTATTACTCGATTTGTTTTCGTGGAACCGAAGACACTAAGAGAAAAAATAAGTACACATATTTTGTGTACTCTAGGAGAAAACATGTCGTTATAATATAGGAACGGCTAGTTAATTAGGATTTTAGCGTTGTTGCTTTTTGGCATTCGAGACGCGTCTCACTGATTAATTAACAACCTATCTAGATGTATACAAATAAAATACAGTTTATACAGTACGCACCGTAAACACGGAATTTAAAGCATTTTGGTTTTAACTTTATTTAAATGTTGCTAGTATATTGAGCGATTAAACCCCGGACAATTCAACCATCGAGTATTATAGGTGTTAGTGCCTTTTAGGTACGTTTCTGATTTATAGACTATTGCTACATGAAAAAATCGGTTTGTTGGTTTAAATATCGTGGATCAAGACACACACAAAAACATTAAACTAAAAAAACATTATTGTAAAAACGTTATCTTTCCAACTACGCATCGAAGCTAGCATATGACTTTTCTAAGAAATTTTTCAAATGATTGCAATTTTGTAGTAAATTTTAAATAAAATTTTATTTATGCTCATTTTACAATATTGCATCTATAACAATATCTGTTTTAGGTAAATTCCAAACCTTCTATCGACATTTGGAATTTAAACGGTAACGTCTATATTTAACTAATTTTTAAAATTAAAAATAATTTGCTGAAAATGTTATCTGGTCGATAACCAGTTTTGGATAATTACTTTTTAAGATACTAAAGTTTATGTCTGAAGGTGGAGTGTGGTTGATCAATGCGCGCATAATATATAAATAATACTATACTCCCCCTTCCTCCCGTCCTAAACTTTAATAACATTTAAAATAGTTATTCAAAACTGGCCATCGACTAGACAAAATGTTCAGCAGATTATAATTAATTTAAAAAGTAATATTTGGGATGGAAAAGTCGATAAAGCTCTGGAATTTACCGAAAAAGACAGACAAAATTTTAATGTATTCCATTGAGGAACTGCATAGCTACCCCGAAAAAAAACCAAGATGTAAAAATCATACAAATCCGGACCCTTTGTACGGTATGATGGTCGGCTAACTAAGATCACTCTGTATACCGTCGCAACCGAATGTCTCTCGCCTCTGATGTGCCGTCGTCCGGCTAATGAGACAACCTTTATGTGTGTGTGCGTGAAGTTGTATAACACTGACGACCGTTACCGGACGGACTTTGGCACGGAAATAATATTATATTAACGGTACATTATTACTATTACAAACGAAAATAATAATAATATTATGAATTTTCAACGGACCCTGCACGTGACCGACGTCATAGGGGTTAGCGTCGCCCGGCACTGCGGGCCACAGCGCGCGCGGCGTTGGCTTATTGTTTTGGCAGTCGGGCCGCATCGGTCGTGCCGTTTGCCAAACCGTCGTGTCCGCCTCCGTTTTCCCAGTCGGTGTCATTCACGTTTGTCGCGTTCGACTTTTAATATTCGCAATAAATATATAAAAAAAAATAATAACACTACCCGTCGTCGTTTTCGGCACCGACGTACAGCAGGCCAGCATAGGTGCATAAAGTGTTTTAAAAAAAAAAAACAATATTAAATTAGACGACCGTACAGTCGGCCGGAGCTGCAGCTGTTGTCGTTTGATAACATTAATTGATTACAGAAAACAAAGTCCAAGAACAGCATGGTTGTCTCGGGAGACGATCACGTGATGGACGTGTTGTTGGACCGGTTAGCGCCGCTTACTACTCGAACCGCAGAAAACATGGAAAAAATCCGTAAAATCGCATGCAAGCTCAACGGACGGGTCAACAACGTCGGTAAGTCCACCAACGCTGTATTGTTATGTGTTATTAAAACATGTTTGCTCGAATTGGAAAAATAAAAATAGAAGGAAGTTTTTACTTTAAAAAAAAAAGAGCGTACCAGTCATTTATTTCACCCCATTTCAAAAAACACCACTTATAAAAATAAGTAGGGGTACAACGTCTGAAATAATAGTTGAGGTACTCATAGTCTAAAATTAGAACTACAGGGTGATTCATTAATACCACTCATTTCCTCATTTTCGCATTTCCCTCCATCCGAAATTTTAAACTTTAATAAACTTATTTAACTAAATTATCACAATTAACTAAATAATAAACTTTGTAATTATCCAAAACTGGTTAACGATTAGTAAAAAATGTCAGTATATCACTCTTAATTAAAAAGCTAATTAAATATTTACGATACTATTTTAGTTGATAGAGCTTTGGAAAATACTAAATAAGGTAAATATTTAGTAGTTTTTAAATATTCTACAATAACATAAATAAAAATATTTTCAAAAAGAAAACCTACAAAATACCAATTGTTTTGAGAGAAAATGAGTATTTTTTCTTAATGAATCATGCTGTGAACCTTGAAACAGGGGTGGAGAAGGGCCAAGTGCAGGCCGGGAAATTACTCTTCATGCAGGCTAATAAAAATATTTAAACAACTTAACATTAATATAAATAAAAATAAAATTGAGCTAAAAAAATATCAAGTTACTTTTGTAACTTTTGAAGTTTAACAATCATGAAATGTATATAATACAAAAAAGATTCATTAAAATGAGGCTATTTATTACCAGACAAATTACAAATAGAATTTGACAAAAAGTGTTACATGGCAGATTTTAGTTATGTCAATATATTGAAAGGTACATGGAAATATTCATTTTAAAGTAGTATTTGGCCTACACTATTTACTATATATTTCAATACAAAATAGTTTAAGGATTAAAACATTTTAGTTTGCAAACTTGGTAAATTGTAAAGTGTAGACCTTACATTCTAGATATTATTGCATTATAAATCATGTTTTGTTTAATTCCTACAATTATAATAAATCAACAAACATATACATTAATTTAGTACATTTTTTTTTGCAGATAAAAATGTTAAAGCCAAATCGTTAAATATGCTTAGAAAAACCAAATCTGAACGTTTGGTGGACATCATGAAGTTATTCGAGGTAAGTCTAAGTTCAATTACTTATCTATATATTTTCAACTTATACAGTAGAGTTCATATAAGTCTTTGCCAAGTGGGGAGAAACTTATAAACCAAAACCAGGGTCATTAAAACTTGTAAGTTTTTTTTTTACATAAAATATAAACAATCTATACATAAATCTGTACAATAAGCTTATATGATAAGAGAATTAAATTGACATACAGGCTTGTTGAGAAGTCAACCATTAGCAGCACTTATAAAAACTTGAAAGTTAATACTAAATCAACAAACATTTTCGAAAAAAAAAGATTTCATCCTATATACTCAAAATTAGTCAACTAGGCTCTTCAAATAAAACCCAAGTCTCTTTGAAATAAAAATCGCTTAAAAAAAAAATCTAATTAAATTAAAATATAATTTATACTTTTCTTAAGAAAATAATATTGTTACTGACTACATACTGGTTATGAACGATAACAGTATGTTTTGCTTAAAAAACTGCCCCATAAAATATCGATAGTAAATTTCATAATTTGAAAAAATTAATAAAAATGAAATAACTGTTTTACTGATTTTGTAATTTTATATAAAAAAAATATATGATGTTAATATGTCATAAAATAAGTCACTACATTGTTCCTCCCATTAAAACCGCCCCACAGTTATTACAATTAACACGAGTAAACATCGAATAAATGATCAAAAATCATAATCAAGTACAATATTTACTTAACAGTTATGATATACTGCAGAACACCGCGTTGTCACGTCTGAACTCTGGGCGATAAAAATGTGTGTGCCGTCAGTTAATTTGACAGTAAACCCATAGGCGCAAATACGGGGGGGGCTAGGGTGGGCTTAGCCCCCCAAAAAATTAGTTTATGCATACAATTTTGAAATACAAAAATATATTTTAAAAAAATTTCCAGCCCCCCCAAGTTAAAAATTGAAATTGCGCCTATGAGTAAACCCGCTGAAATTAATCAAACATTATTATAGATTGGCTAAATAAAAACGTTTATAAATGGAATTTTGCTAATAAGATTTTTAAATCATTATTATTAATGTTCCAATTATGAAACTGTGTGTTCCATATGACTATGTAGGAACTATAGTCTATATATGCTCTAATGTCTAATACATAATACACTCAATTAAAATACAAACACTAGGTCTATATTCCAAGGTACAGACATGACAATTATAATAGCAGCATTCACTTTAGTGTTGTTCTTAATCGACCGTGTTTATTTCCTATTAACTTATTTAAATATTATTTTATTATAGTTGAGCATACTGCATAGGCGTTAACGATCCTTATCCGCCTTAAAGCCAATTTCGATTTGACAATAACACTGTTAAACGTAGTTGGTGCAACTCGCAAATAATAACGACTTTTTCTATTAGAACATCTGTAATGACCTTACGCGCTTAATTAAAACATCTATTCTTAGAATAATCTCTTTGACTCGCAGTTTTGTTCTAACACTAATTATAAAATATGTTAATACAAAAAAAAAATTCTTATAAATGTTTTAACGCTGGTTTGCACGGTCAAAATAATGAACTGTGCTTGACTAATTGCAATTTTAAATGTACCGTTTAGTTTATAATAATGTTTTCGTAAGCCTTCAGTTTAATTAAAGAGGACGCACCGCCGCCTATTCAATAAGTAGTAAAGTACTTGCAGGACATTTTAAAAGTGTTCTTTTATTATGTTTCGCATATTGTGATTTTCCTTTTGTCGAATATATACTTCTAAATACATTATCCCAGCGACAACGCCGCGGTGGAATTATTAGGTATGTCTTTTATGGGTTTTTGACATCTTAATTTTACAAGTGCTTAATCGGCTGCGTTATTTTTGTCGTGTTAAAAATAATTACAATACTCGTGACTTTTGGTATGCAATACAATTTAATATAATATTATGTTATTGTAGGCCGACACGCGACACGGTAATACTTTTGTGTACATATTGCTCTGCCGACCAATTCCGGAATGATTTATAATTTATAGGACTGGAAGTGCTCGGCTGTGTACTCTTAATAAAACGCACAAAAGTATAATAATATTATCATATTACTTGAAACGCGATATTATTGAATAACCCGGTGGACTTTATTAATACACTAAAGTTGTGTTTATATTTTATTTTTAACACGGGGCTCGGTCGAAACGACTTTACCGCCGGTTGTTGTGGTTTTTCGGTATAGAACAAACGAATACCTCAAATGTTACGGAACAAGTATAAAAATTTGACAAAATGCCATTTTTATTGTTTTTTTTCTGTCAGATACGATGATATAGGTGATATTCGTTTAAACGATTTCGGTACGCTAATGAAATAAATTGCTTTTGGCATTGACACCGCTGATAATCGTTCGCGCCACGGTTCTTTAGCGATTTAATAATATCCAGTGTCTACCGTGCAGTTTGCTTAAAAAGCCCCCCCCCCCCCGTTTTCTCTAAAAAAACCTAAGTATAAACTTAAATTTGATTTAAATTACATTTGTTTATAAAAAAAATAACACAAGTTTTATGAAGGGCATTATTTCTACTATGAAATCACCTAAAATCACACAGAAACAAAATATAAATAAAACATAGTATAGTGTTTAACGTTAGACACTCGTTTTCTCTTAAAATAATTGCAATTTTGTAGTGATTCTTTTTGAAAACATTTATATTTATATTAAATGGTTTAAGTCAAAATGTTCAGTAGATTATTTTTAATATAAAAAGTTAACTAAATATGTACTTTACCATTTAAGTTTCAAATGTTGATTGAGCTCTGGGAAGTATAAAAAAATAATATTAATAAACAATTTTATCTTGTCTGATATTTTAAATAACATTTAGATTTTTTTAAAAATTTGATGTATTCAAAACTACTGGCCATTTTTGTTCGCAGCACAATATTTAATTAGGTCAGTTTTTAAAATACTACAGTATTAAATAGGGCTGAAACGTGTGAACCATTAGGCATACCGACCCTGATGATTTTATTAATTCTTATAATAATAATAATAACGACCTACCGCCGTGTGTTGGCCCAATGCGAAACCACCACGGCCTATTAAAACCGTACAAATTAGAACCAAATGTATTTTTAGCGTTTCGTTACAATTATTATAATAATCATTTGGACAGAGCCACGAGAATCATTTAACTTAATATTATGTTCAATTTTTTTTTTTTTTGGTTGTTGTCGTTTATAACATAATAATCAGCTGCAAAAATTCGCTCGCCAAAAACTGAATAACCTTGGCCAATATTTTCAATTTAAATAACATGATTGTTTGTGTGATTTTGCGTATTATGTTATAACCGTACGGACATGAATAATTCCTTTACACGTTGTACTCGAGATAAAAAATGTAGGAAGAAAGAGATGCATTCTATTTGTTTTTTCAAGGGTCAATAAGAACTTATATATATATATATATATAAATATACAATATGAGTATGTACGGCTGGCAAGCTACTCGGTCGTATGTTTTGCATACGTCTGTTTGAAAACAGTTAAGTTACATACACGACGCAAGCGATTAATCGCGAGACGATCAATTACTATTAGCTGACAACGTTATTTCTAGTGTGTTAAGGTTAAGGGTGTTCTATTATTATTAGTATTGCACAGTACATTTGTGTACAATTAAATTTTTATTTATAATATGTTCGTTCGGGTTCCCAGGTTGTTAGACAAAACTCCAAAAAAATTACCATTTTTTTCTTCTGGAAATCTGTACCTCGGTAATCTATAATTTGGCTAGCCACAAAATCCCACTAAAATATGTGTCGTTCATTGTAAAAGTGAATTATGTCCTTGTAATTGAATTTTGAAATAATGAATTCAGTATTTTTTTTTTTTGCGTTTTTTTGTGTTGCTTCACTTTTATAATAAAAAAATATTACAAAATGTGACTCTATTATGCAAAAATATTTATATTTTAAAAATTTGGAATTACACCACTTTTTACAATTATTAACGACAATTATTATGACATTAAGTAATTGAAAAAAAAAAAATCTGAGATTGTAGCGCTCCCTACACACTATTTTCGTTGTTTTTTTTTTTTGGAATTATTCAATTTTTAAGTAATTAAAACCGCGATAAATCGTAGAAAAATAGATATAAAATTCCTAAATCAAACCACAATATCCGAATGTTCATAATTAAAATTTGTCATTAAACAAAATTATTTCCTACATAATATCTCTTAATATGGTAGAAGTTTACCTGTTGTATTCAATTATGCTTTAATTATTTATCTTATGAATAAAATAAGCAAATGGAAAATGTTGTGTAACTATTAGCAACAACATGATGTAAAAGGTGAGCGGTTTTACCTTGTATATTGTAAAATCAATTGTCAGTTTAAACTAAGTTAAATGGTAGCGTGGTGTGACCCTATTACTAAAGTTCAATACTTTCGTTCAAAGCTAGCAATACAATAAAGTAATATTCCCACACATACAGTTGACTGTGTGACTTGCTAAAGAAAAAAATAAAGAAAAATAATTATTGAGATCAAGAATTAGTTTTGTTTGTTTTTGATTTGTTATTGTTGATAATTTGATAAATAATAGCCGGACATTGACGAACAAGAGTAATTATTATAGTTTTAATATTATTATTCTTTGCATCAGGTACATATGTTATTATAAGTAATAATATTTTGGTGTTGCTAAGAAAAAAATAATTTTGAGGTTAATAGTTTTTTTCTTCCACTTATTATAAACGTCAACTTTTTGTTTTAATTTTTTAAACCTGTCACATCAAGGTCTAGCTGTGTGCAAAACATAACATTATATACATATACTATTTTTATAATTACGAAGTAGCAAAACTTAATTAAAACAAATCTCATTAAATTAAGTCATGAATATGTATTTAGTAACCCAATTTAAAACTGTATTGCCGCAAATAGAATCTACAATGACAAATGAGTGTAGTAATTTTAACTTAATTTTGTTGGTTTTTTTTTATTATCCTCTTTCGTTGTAATAGTTGATGTTTACCGGTATTTAACGTTTTATTTGCTTTAAGGCGTTTACGTTTAACAGTTACGGTAATCTATTTTGCATGTTAGCCAGTAATAGCGTTTAAATACATTTTATTGTGCTTTCCCGCAAGGAATTTATCGGCCAGAGTAAAAGTTTTCACTTTTGTAATGAAGCAAATTAAATTGTAGTCTGAGAATCAATAAAACGTCATAATGGTGAGCTATCACGTAATCATGTCATGGCGCTTCGTACACGGCTGCACATATAATACAATCATTTGTGCGTGTTTAAGCTAATTTAGCATTCAACTTAGCTAAAAAAAACACAAAAAATAAACACCAAAAAACATTATTGAAAACCTGTTGCGACTGATGTGTTTACTCATAAACACTATTAGGTACACGTTTTATTCCGAAATTATGTGTCTTAAATACCTACTATTATAATACTATAATAATAAAAATACCTAAGTACTTATTTTTAAGACAATAAAGATAAGTAAAACTCATAAGCTGTCGACCATTGGCAGACTAACTCTAAAATGTCAAACGCGAAATTTGGTTAATAAAAAGTATATATATAAAAAACTTATATTTTTTAATACATAATTTATTTATAAAACTACAACATTTATAGAACAAATTTCACACATCGTCTAAGAAAATTCTAAAAGAATATGATTTGTATGTTGTATCCGGTTGAGGTTTATTCGCGAATACTTTAAGAATTATATTTATCGTAAAAATCTCAATTAGCTATAGTTCGTTAAAGTTATTTGAAACTATCTCTATAATTCTCTCTGAAAATATTATGAATGTTAGACTGTAGACAACAAATTAAGAATATTTCAAACTAATTAAAAGCGATGAACATTATAAGAGATCTAAGGTATGATTAGGACGTTTTAATGAATAATTTGTTCATTTAAAAAAAGAACGTTTATCATAGAGGTTTTATCGGTTGCACTGTTATACTTCCATCCATGAGCCTAACAATTCAAATTTCAAAAATACTTATTACAACTGTCTGGAAAAAGTTGACAAATTTTAGAGCAAAGAAATGCAATCTTCTTAAATTATTCAACATCAAGCAAGTTTGCAAATTATTGTTTATATTTAATTATGTAATTTTTTTGGCTATATTTTGTTTTTCATTCAAGGTTAGTGCATTTGATTATATAACATGTCGAGATAACGATTTGAACAAGTATCAAATATTTTGTTTTCTAAATTATTGGTGATATTTAGCTGTCCATAAGATGTGTAAATTTAGCTTATGTGGCCTAGCAACATGCTTAATCAATATCAGTTTTCCAAATAACCTCAAAATATTACACTATTCTCTGTCGACTATTATTGTCACTTAATTTGTCATATGTTGTATATTTCACCTTTATGTCGAATACTTGCATACAAAATAAATAGCCTATTTATAGAATTAAATTGATTTACTCCCGTTTATCGTTTAATGGGGTATTATTTAATTTGTGTGTACTATTTATGAATTATAAAACATAAGGAAATTAACGAACGAATACCCGATTCCGCATGTAACGCCTACCGTTAAATAGTTATTATTATTATTATTTTCAATACCTAGTTTTTGTTAGGTGAAACATAAAAAAATTAGGGTTAACCATTAAGTAATATTTATGTAATGCTCGACTAAAATGTCAAATTTCAATATTAATATTATACAGTATATTTTGTATATTTATGTGGCTGTATTATTGTGTTATAATAAAGAATATTTTAATTTTATTATTTGTTATAAACTCATAAAATTAAAATGGCAATTCCCAAACTAAACGCTTGTGTCACGATGAACCGGCCTACCTTGAGTCGATAGATATTTCGGTCTGATAATACTGCATTTTTATTTATAGTGTGTTTTTATTTATTAAAGTAAAAGATTCACCGTATTATTTCAAATTAATAGTAGGTAAAACGACACAACATAAATCTTTTTTTTTTGTTCTGGAAAAACAGTCGCTACTTTTCGGCAAGCCTTGGCTTTGATCCATCTGCTTAAAAACAACACCATGACTCCTTAAGTATAATATAATTGGGAAAACGCCAATTTTAAGTGGCCATCGTGTTTTGTAACACTATAGTAATTCAACGAACCTGATGACATAAGCAATTTATCGTCGTTTTTATAATATTTAATACCAATCGATCACAATAATTATACTCGTTTAAGTAACTGAGGAGTACTTGTTTGATATATGTATCGACGGTTTTGTCATGCAATTTATAATGTACGATTTTCTGCAAAATGCACTGTTGCACTTTCCGGATGATACAAAAACCTTGTGGATAAGGTTTTATAGGATATTTGTGTAGTGTTAGAGTAAATAAAAAAACCAAAAAATTATCAAACCTAAAAAAAATAATATATCTGAGGTCTGTACGCTGGATGATTTCGATAATGAATGTTTTTACCATTATTCATTGACTAAAAAAAAAAAAAAATAAAACTTACCTAGTAGATGCTTAGATAAAAAAAACCAATTACCAATAAATGTCCTTTATTAAAATAAGATATTTCACCATCAATTCTCGTTGCTTCCCGGATTCTTTCCCGGTTCCCTAAAGAAAAACGATTTTTGATTGCAGAAAACCAAAGACAAATCTACCTGTACGTATCTAGCCGGCGTTATTCATGCGTGCGTGGCACCGAAATCTGGTAACTAATGCAATTATTGATAACTGACGTGGTAAAAAAAAAAAAAAACACTATTTTGATCGATGTTTGACTTAAGGTAGCATAAGGATGACCGTCTTAAAACAATTGGTGAAATTGGACGCGACGAAAATATTCATGAAATCAGTGGTGGATTTACATTCGAAATCCGTCGGTTCTCATGACACTCTTATGAACGAACTGTTTTTCATCCTAGGTCAATTATCTCAAAAAGGTGATTATGATAAAACAGAGTTTTTACTCGATTATTAAAATACGAAAATTCGGTTTGTTTTTGAAAGACAGTAAATTTTCGAAACAAGCGGAACTCTTGAACGTGGCCAAAGCGTTCCATCAGCATTTAAAGAATAATATAAAAAACACAAAATTGGTCACCGCGTTAATGTTGTGCGCAAAGACATTCACCAAAAACGGTTGGTCGCCATTTTCGACCGTCGCTTGCCGGGCTCGTCTAAACAAACGTTGATTTCGTTTCAGAAAACATTGTTGCTGTACTGTTGAAAGACAACTTCGTTATGACGATGGAAAAACTACTGCGGGAAAACCGCAAACATCTGAAGAAAAACAAACAATGGGTGTTTCTTGTAATTTTGGCCAATATTAGTAAAAAAAGTAATAATCGGATTTGTGTCGCTATTTCGTTTTTACCGTGTGTTGTTAAAATGTTGTTGGGTATTTTTTTAACATGAATACATTATTTTATTATTTAGCCTGGGAGTAGATCCGTTTTCATATATCGTGCCGTCATCGATTAGCTCAAGTTCAAGTTGGATGAAATGTGGATTGGGTAGGGATTAGATGTGAGGTGTTTAGTTGGATATTGGGTGGGGATGATATGGTGATAAGAGGAAAATGCCCTCGGGTATCTGATAAAAGAATCAGTTGATAAGAGGAAATCAATAACCCTAGATATAATATATAGTTATATTATCAATAATCTCTTATCAGGGGTATTGATAAGATAACTATATTATATGGTAAAAACATTATATTCAAGCTCTAAAATTGTAAGCTTTAGGTAATATTTACTCGGTGACCTTATAGATGTTCTGTGTGTACAACTAAAGTACATCAGTTACGGTTTTTTTTCCTTCACAGTTTCTGAAGACGGCTGTGAACGTTTGGTCAGAGGAGGTCTGATGCAATACGCTTTGGACGTGTTCGACGTTAAACAATATTCGACGAACAAAACTAATAGCAAAATATTTTCCTCTGCTCTGGACACGCTCGTGCACGTTTCCGCCACAAGTGAGTAGTTAAAAAACATATCAAAAAATAAAATTACAGTTTAAAACGATGTTGGGTTTTTGTTCTGTTATTGCATTACAGACAACGGACGGACGGCGCTGAAAAAGTCCAACCGGTGTAACATTTTGTGTGTGTTCATAAATAATTGTCCCATCGACCGCATTTACAATTCTACCCTTTCCAAGCTGTGCACTGTGATAAACGTTTGTCAGGATAAAACGGTTTTACCACTTGCCACGATACAGTCATCGTATTCGTTCGGTCTAGGAGACGTGAAGACCGGCGATTGTGGTAAGTACAAAGATAAAAAATATTAAATATTTTTTTACGAAAACTACATAATATTATGTACCTTTTTTCACCATCCAACTTCTTACTTGATGTTTTAATTAATTAATGCTATGGATTTTTGTATTATAATATGTACAACTGGCGAATTTGATGTTTTTGGGCTGGGGTCAATCTGGAATTTGCATCAAAGCGACACCAGAAAGTAAGGTTAGGTCAAGTTTGTGGTAAAAGGGGAGGAAGAGAAGAGAGAAGGAAAGGGGAAAGTGAGGATCAGTGATAAGACTCTTATCACTCGGCTGACTCAGCCGACAACACTAAAATTACTTTTATAAAACTTGACTGAAAAACCGGTTTCGAAATGAAATTAAATGTTTAATTTTTTTTTTTAACGTAAAAGATATAGTATTATATAATAATTCTATTTTTTTATGATAATGATGTACATTACATTTTCATATATAAAAAAATAGTATAATTAAACAAAAAGTTAAAAATAATAATAGAATATTTCATAAAATATTTTTGTTAATTACCTAGTTTTAGTAAAAATTTAAATACATTTACAATTTTTTTTGTTTTAATATTTGGCATATCTTTCAAACAACATGGTATAATTTAAAAATCCTATTTCTCTAATAAAACAACTATTATCTAAAGTGTGTCCACACAAAAATAAAACTCTTTTATCCAAATTTTAACGTAAAATATTATATATCGGAGGAAGAAACCCGGATACGATAGGCCAAATTAAAAATGATTTTATAGACATGGGGGATCTGGAATGGACAGAAAGGTGATGATGGAAAACAACAAGTGAACGAAACTAGTTTACCACATTTTCTCAGGTTCTCGTCCTTTTCTTCTCATTCTCAGTAAGGCAAATAAGTGAAGGTCAAGGTTGTACTAATAACTTCTTTAGTTGAATTGTTTGATAAAATATATGAAACACACTTTTCTTGAAAATGAAGGGTCCAGGCAGTAGTTCTTAATGGGGTCGGTGAAGTGGTAGTGTTGTGGAACGGCTAGCTTGTTTTGGGTGATGAGTATGTTTTGAGTGGTGGGTGGACGGTGAACTTTGCATGCAATATAACCAATTTTCAAGTAGAGAGGCGTTGAAAAAAATGTTTTATTGCTCAAGGGGACGACAGTTTTAAAAAAGGTCAAGAACCACTGGTCTAGTTCATCAACTAGCCAAGTCAACTTTTTACACATATTTAGTATTTATATATTTTTTAATATATTTGTAATTAATAGTCGGAATTTAATGTTCGTTGCATCAAAACGTAGATAGTTTTTCCGGGGAAATTACCCATAAAAAACATTTTTTTAACATAAAAGTGGACTTTGCAATGGGCCATATTTTGCATTCTGATTCTGATTTATTCGATTTTCTTGCGAATTGTTGTACCTAGAACGAGACGAGTACGCGGGTACCGACAGCGATGGGAGTGACAACGAGGAAAACGATCAAACGGTCGTACAAAACTTGGCCGAACCGACGGAAAACTTTGTCGTTAGGAAATCCGAATCGGTCAAATTCGAGATCACGTTCAACTACTGGAAAGATCCCGACGAACTCGTGGCCATGTGAGAAAAATAACACTGTGATTACACAATATTAATATGTATTATTATAACGCATTTACCGCATGCATACACACAAGTCACAACGGCATTTTTTGTTTGATTTGAATATATTATTTACCCTGTGCGAATCGTGTGAATTGTTTTTCATAATTGTAACTCTGTTTTCTTCTAATAACAGTACTCTGTTTCTTATTAGGTACGGTCGATTATTCGAAGAATACAACGGCGAAACGTCAAAGACAACGACGGCACCATTGTACAAAGTTCGCGCCGGACTAAGTGCGAATTCTACAACCGCTCTGATGACATCGTTCGCTAAATTCAAATCGAGTAAATACTTTAGGTAAGCGTGTCTTGGATATTATATTCTCGCGGCGTTTAAATTAAACGGCAAAAAAAAAAAAGGCTGTAACATTTTTGAACAGTTATTGCTTTTTGAAGAAATGTGTTCGAATTGATTCGTTTTGAAACAAAACAAAATTATTAGAAGGTACTTCTAAATAAATAAAAATATATATTACTCACATATTTTTGATGATATGTGTTGTGTATTAATTAAGAAAAATTTCATGTTCTCATACCGCTGCGTTGTTGGAAAATATTAAAGTTAAGTCCAGACGTTACAATGTACAAATATAATATTTATTTGGATTTGAAATGTTTAAAAGTTATAATAAAATAAAATAATATTTGAAAGTAAAGTTATCTATTTCTGTTTTAGAAATATTATATTTGATGGTTTTATTTTTTCAGCGGCCGAAACGACTCGATTACTCCGGGTGACAATGTAAATCTGGAAGTGAGTTGATACTCTTAAAAAAAATGTTAAACAAGCTAGTGTTCAAGTTGTTTAGGTGTGATAAACCCTGGATATTCGATAAGAAATTATCGATGAGATAAATGCTAACAACACAATATGCATGCATCAACCTATAATAAACTTTAACTGTAATTTAACTGATCACCGTAGGTTAAAAGAGTGTGCGTTTTATTTTTAATTAGATGACTCTATAAATAAACATTTATACATGAGTTTTTTTTATCTAAAGAGAGATTTTAAATTATTGATTTTAAAAATTTCGTCGGTATACCCTCCCCCCCCCACGTATACTGTGGGAAAATATACAAATTTAAGACGTTGGTATGCTTGAATTTTTTTTTTTTTTTTTATTACAGAAAGAAGAAATTCGGTTGTTGAACAACCTGCGGAAAACACAAACGCACAGAGCCGCATACTCGTCCATAGCCAAGAGGGTGAACAGTGTGGTGCCTTTAGTGAAGATAGCTTATCCCGATTGGGTGGGAGCCGATGAAAATTCGCCGTTAGAGCCTTTGTACAACAGCGACGTGCACATATCCCGGTAATAGAGAAATCCAATTAACTATATTAATTACACCGTGTACAACATTGTTTATGTTATGTTTGTCCAGTAATAAACTGTTGAGCTGTATGGAGAACATCGGCAAGAGAAAAGACTGCGGCGACTTAATCGTGTACGATTTGGACTACTTGTTGGCCACTTTCAACGACCCCAAACGTTTTTTGCCGTAATTGAAAACATATAAATTATTTATAAAACAACTAATGTATAAAACTCATGGCTAACTTCTACTTTGAACAGGTTGACCAACGAAGACGAACGATTGATCAACTCAAAATCGTGTTTCGAGCACTTGCATTTCGAGTCCCGTTTCGAAAGCGGCAACCTAAGAAAAGCCATTCGGGTAATCGTCTTGGTTATTTTTCGGTTAATACTGAAAAAAATTAACTCACAATTATTGTTCCAGAATTGTTTTGTCGGGTTTATATTGATTTATTGTTATTATTGCATAGATTGGCGCCAACGAATATGATTTGATTTTGAACTCGGACGTCAACTCCAATTCCCATAATCAATGGTTTTATTTCCAAGTAATTATTAGAACAAAATAGAGCGTATTCAATCAACGATATTAATGTAATAGTAACATTAATACCCTAAAATATTACTAAACTGTTACAATATGATAAACGAATAGTTTTATAGTTGCTTAAGTATTCGAAATAAAATTTAATAATTATTCGAAAACGACAATTACAATATTTATTAACATAACATTTTTTGTTATAATTAATATCGATTAAAATCGCTTTAAAAAAAAGTGTTTTAAAATTTTTTTAAATAGCTGGACGTCGGATAAACTTTTAAAAATTACCATTTCTTGCTCGTGTTTTTTTTATTTACTAGTACCTTCTTTTTAAAAAGGGCTACCCAGCGTTTTAGTAGTCCCTTGTGCCCTTATGTGATGAAATACAATATTATTAAAACGAAAACGTTATTTGTCAGGTATCGAATATGATGGCGTTCAAACCTTTCGTGTTCAACATTGTCAACATGGAAAAGAACAGCTCGCAGTTCAAGAACGGTTTGCAGCCAATAATTTTCTCGGTGAAGAGCCACATGGAACTCAAGCAAGGGTGGAGACGGACCGGCGTGGATATCAGCTATTACATTAACCAGTACAAGAGCGGCAGCAAGGCAAACGGTTCCTACATGACTGCCTCGTTCACCATACAATTTCCCTACGACCTGGACGTGTGTTACATTGCATACGTGTACCCGTATACGTATTCTACTCTGCTGGTAAGGTATTCTTTTGTTAAAAGCCAATAATAATAATAATAATAATCGAAAAAAATTCTACGGTTTCTGTTTTCACTACTTACAGTACAAATGTTTCAACTGGAAAAATTCCATCGATCCGAAGACAACGATTTTTCGCGCCAACAGCATGTGCCGTTCACTGAACAACAACGATGTGCCAGTACTTACTATTACCTCTGTCGAAAACGAATACAATAAAATTCAAGTAATTACTATGAACGATATTTGAATGCACTGAAGATTTACCTAGTGTCCTGCATGTCCCGAATTTGTCTTTGGTTTTAGAATACAATTAAGTGAAAGGAAGTGCGCCGGGTCTGATTGTATTTAGATGAAAAAACTATTCAGATTAGATTAATTCTAACCTTATTAAAGCGTTAAAATCGAATTGCCTGAATCTTTCTAGTAAACAAACCGGTGTTTAGTTTTGTAAAATTTCAAACGATATTTAAGGCGTTTGATATAGGCAAACTCATGCAAAACAATACACGGCGAAAATTTAGTAAATCTATTTGTTAATTTAACATGATTGCGGATAATTTATTAGTAGATTATTTTTTTTCATAAGGCATAACTTCCCTCAGATACATTGTACCTATTTTCTAATAAAAATAAACCCAGCCTCTCACTATTCGAAAATACAAGTGGAAAATATTTGAGTTTAAAATAAACTCTTTGAGAGAGAGAGAATAGTTAATTAAGTACTTTTAGTGAAACAGCTGCATGTTTGGTGCACTTCCAAGACATTGCGCTGCATGCATCTACTGCAAAATACAGTGCGCTAAAATGGAAATGTGATACATTGTTTACTTTAACTCGTTTTTTTAAATGTTTGTCCCTGTAAGCGCAGAACCGACCAATCGTGTACTTGACTTCTCGCGTACATCCCGGCGAAACGAGTTCGTCTTGGGTGATAGACGGTGCAATAGAGTTCTTGTGCAGCGATTCGATCACAGCGAAGAAAGCCAAAGACACTTATGTGTTCAAAATCGTACCCATGTTGAACGTGGAAGGCGTCATCAACGGCTGGTGAGTACATATTAATAAATATTAATTACAAACAACAGCGATCGCTTAGGATGTTTTAATCTTGCTTGGTTTATTCAATATTGTATACGACCAACATAGATTTAAATTACATTTGTTTTATTTATACCTACGAGGATTCAAAATGAAATATTTACAATAAAAAGTAAAGTTGAAAAAAAATCGATAAAAGTCTAAAAAAAAAAAAACACCCAAAGTAGAAAACTACGAAAAAAAATCACAAAGTTGGCAAAACATAACTCAAACACGATAAAACCCAACAAACGTTAGGCGTTCACCCAAAACGTGGGTTTTATTGGATTTAAGTTTACTAAAAACAAAACCATGTTTGTTGCCAACTTCGAATAAACTGTATTCGTTATTGTCTTCTTGGAATTTTTTTCCTTTCAAAAATTTATCGATATGTCAATTTGTTCATAGTTTAATCACTTATTACGACTTAAAAATAAAATAATCACATTAAATTATATAAATAAATATATATAGGTATGTATGTATAAATACCATCCATTACTATCCACAGAGACGAGCTACGAAAAACGTTAATGCTAAGTTGAGAACAAAAAATTTGTTACAATTTGAAAAAAATAAAAATAATTGTACTAAAGTTTCAATGTGTCTTATATAATCGGAGTTGGCAAAAAAATACCCAAACCCCCTAAAAAAAACCAGAGTGTTTTTTTTATGAAATCTAGAAAAAAATGTATGTTTACCGAAAAATATGGCGTTTAGGGTTTTATTAGGCTTGCCCGGGTATTGTATACAAAGAAAACAAAACTCAGGTTTTTTTTTTAATCGGTTTTTTGCCAACTCTGTAAATAATAGTAAATACATTATGACATACAACAGCTATTGCATGGCTAAAAGCAATAGAGCGGGTGTGGAGAGAGCCTAATGTTCGGTTTTGAGATATTTTCGTCCGAATTTTTTTTTTTGATTTTGCTATTTGTAGCGCGTTTTATTTGGAAAAGAGCTAATTACAACAGCAGCTTTGTTCGGCGGAGAGCAGCTAAGCCTCTTCTTGAGACGATTTTTTCAACACCGGTTTCTGCAGCATAATGTCTTTGGCCCACGACCACGGTAACTGTGGTTGGTCGCTGTCGTCGTTGAGCGGACGTTGTTCGAGGTCTTTGGTGGCGCGGATTTTGTGCGGCACGGCCGTGGCAAACGCTTTCTCCAACGATTCGAACGCAAAAGCGTTGGTCTTTGCTTGCAGTTGATCCGCTTCCGGTTGACTTGGAGCGCGCTGCTGCTGTTCAGCATTTTGCGGACGGTCTTCCACCTGTTCCGGTTCCTCTTGCTGCTGTTGCTGTTGTTGGTTGTGCATTTGAATCAGAGTCGGTAGCGTTGTCGTGTATGAGACAACGTCGGCCGTTGCTGCTGTCAGAGGCGCGTCGGTGGACACCTGCTGCTGTTGTTGTTGTTGTTGGTCGACGACGGCCGTTTGGGTCTCTTGGAAGTATTGTTGCTGTTGTTCGGTTGTTGCGGCGGGAGAGTCGTCGGCCTGGCCGGGAGTGGACGCCACAGCTTCCGCTTCGGGGTCGGCCGACCTGGATAGAATGTTGTCCGGAATTTGTTGTATGCCGTTGTGTTCTTCGTAGGTTTCTGTGGTGGTAGTAGTGGACGTCGTTAAGGTGGTAGGCGCGTTGGAGGAAGTGGATATATGGTCCTCACGATGAGATGACGAAAACAGCGAGTTGATTGTTGGTCTTGATTTGTAACCGAACCTGAAACACACAATAAAACCGTAGAGCAGCTATTAACGTCAGAGCTAGCCGAGCTATTCGGGTTGGGCGCATTGTCGGGTGGCAAGAAACGAAAATGACACTGTACAACACGGTTTTAGAACAACAACAAAAAATTACTAATTTTTTTTTGGACATTCGAATCTGACCTTAGAATTTCTCTAGCACGTCTAGTTATTTTTATCATGGACATTTTTTAAGGCTGGGGGTCTGTCTGGAATTTGGTGTCCTCAATTTTTCGTTACCGTTTTCATGACAATGATAAGAAACAGCTGATAAAGAATTAGTGATAAGAGAGGCAGCTGATAATGGTTCTTAATAAGAGACAGATGATAAGATCAGTGAAAAGAGGAGAGGAAAATGAACATGAACACCAGACGATCATGGGGATTGCCCAAAACCATATCCATAGTTCATTGTTTTTCCATAAATTGTTTTATAATATGTCTCTTTTTTTTAAATTTCCTTCAAAGTTGTAAAAATATACGGTTTTCGGCTATTTCCAGCGAGTTTTGTATGTTTGGAAAATTAATCTAAAAAATATCGAATTTAAGAAAACCAATTGAGATATTAGAACAATTCCTAGGGCAGATTTAGCGAAAAATGTAAATATATCTTGCCACTTTTATGGGACCCCCTCTCCCCCCATAATAAAAAAAAGCAAATTTTGATGAACAGTGTTATTTTATTAAAACGTTACTTTATCAGACACAAGTGATCGAACCTATTAGTTAATAACGCGTATATATCTTTATATAGCAACCACTTTGTCGCTTCAATGTTGTCTTGATAATAATATTAACTCTTGTGTATATGAATAACTCGAATAAAGTGTAAATGAATATCACAAGACGGTATTCGGGTCACGTACTTAACGAGGAAGCGTATTACATCGACAATAATAAACGTTTCAAATAACAATTTTAGAAAAAATACATAATACCCCTTCGTTTACATTGTAATATGCAGTCAAGTGTATCATTTATCAATATTATAACGTTGAACACGGTTTACAGTGAGATTTCAAGAAAATTCTAATTTGAAAAAAAAACATATTACAAAACAATGTTTTACCACTAAAAAAAAAAAAAATCCTATTTGCCGCATGTATGACGGATTTGTATTGAAAGCTCAGTTTCAAGTACTTGTATTTAGAAAGAAAAGAATTAGCTCAAGGTTCCATGTGAGTTTGAACCGCCACATAAGAATACAATGCAGGACAATTTCGATTATTTACATGCAAAAACCATTGTAAACTTATGTAAATGCCAATAAACCCTGGGTTAACCGGTTTCGAATTAGGTGCATGTCTTAACGATCTTAATGGCTTTAGTCTTTGGCTGATGTGTCCATCGCAATACGATTCGTTAAGATTAGGTATAATTATTTAAAAAACAGTCGGCCGCCTACTTGTCGTTTTTTTAGCCATTCAAAACATAAAAAAAAATCAGTTGGGAGTAGGTAAGTATTAACTACCTTACCCTCGTTCCTGGGTCTGACGACCAACAGTGTATTTTTTTATTTTATTAAAAGGATCTCTACAGCATTGTGGAATCGAATTTTTTGAATTCATAAGATAACTAGGGGTCCGTGGTCTCGTCTAATAATTCTCACCTGCTTACCCCTGGCTGGAGGACACCGGAATCGACCCGTAGTTGTAGTAATAACACCGGGTCTGTTCGCAGATGAAGTCCTTCAGGTCCGTGCAGTCGGCGGTCACCCAATCCATCGTCGGGGCTTTGAGGGCGACGCATCCGTCTCTGGAACCGCTATCTCCTCTGAAAGACAATAGACTTATATGTTTAAAACTTTTAAAAAAACCGAACCGAAAAAACCCGCCCGAAAACCGACAGCCAGGTTTATGCCAACTCTGCGCTTGCACCGGTAGTGTTACCTCTTTTTCCTCGCTATGGGAAGTACGGGCTTCATGCTTAGCTCGTCCGCGTCCAACCCACCGTTGGCCGAAGGCTGTTTCATTTGGTTAAAAGTGGTGTTGAAAGGCAACCCCGTCGACATCCAAATCAACATGTCCGTGCCCAGACGATTGCCGGACGTCCAATAGTCGAACTTGTGATAACCTTAAAACATAAAAAACATAATACAATTTTCTATATATTAGTTGTGCTTGGAAGCGTTTCACTGTCAAAAACACGATTTTCCCACGAAGAGTCCCGCGCGTTGTCGCCATTAGAAATTATCTCTTGGAAGAGAAAACTTTCCGATTTTACTGTTGCTTTTTTCCTCTTATATTTAATGTCTAATATAATTAATTTAATTTGTTTCTCCTTGAAAGGTCGTCGACCCAATCGACTTACTGTTTACTATAATATGTTTAGTCACAAAGAAATTATTTCTTTCGTACCGAATTGTGCGTTCTCTTTGCTGTGTCAATATGCGAGTTACTTTGTATTATTTTATTCGAAAATTGCCTATACAATGCGCCTTAATACATATCAGTGTAAAACCCATTGAATTTGAAATACCACGATAATACTTCCCGTATTTTAAAAATATTTGAACAATATTGTTTTTAATTAGATTTTTGTTATTTCAACTGAAATTGGGCTTAAATCCTATTTGAATTTCTCAAATTTTTAGTATTCACTTTATTGTCTTTTTAAGTAAATGAAACATTTATTCAAAATACAACTTCTACAATAATCTGGAAAAAAGGGTAAACAGCAAAATTATTTTCACAGAATTAAAATCCGATCATTCTAAGAAGACTATTTTTGAAGAAGTTAATTTTGCCTGGCTTTTGAGTCTATGTCGGTTTCTTTTAAAAACAAATTGGCTTTTACTCGTAGAAAAAACTGTCAAACCTGAACATCCTGAACCTTATACAAATTAACCTGAAAATAAATTGACAGGGTCAAAATTTAATAAAACAACTTTTTTCTTAAATATTGCCTAATTGACATTCTGCTTTTAATAAGCAATTCACATACTAAAATATTACACGCCTGTTTATAATTATGATTTTTTTTTTATAAGTGAAAATAACTAGAACCCTTAAGAAAAACATAATATTATGTTAGGTACTGGTAGGCTATATTTTAATATAATATATGTATATTTATTCAATTTAAAAGTAAAACGTTAATGAACATTTCGTTCTGGGTTTCAAGGAAAATAATTGTGTGTGTTTGGTTGGTTTTTTAACCTTGTTTATTGTACCTATTCCGAACGAATTAAAAAACAGTAAATTATTACATCCGACAACAAAGCACACAAGGTGTCTCGGTCTTAGGTGTGATTTTAGTTGTCGGTTTCCGTTTATTTATTTTTTTCTCTACGTCCATTGTTGAATAATTATCGTCGAAGACCGACGAAAATACACATTATCATTATCTACATTCTAAAGTCTCTTCGTTTTAATATTTGATCATTCTTTCCGAACACCCGTTAGAATATTATACTCGGGCCATTGTTGGTGTGTGCATAACTGTTCTATACATAGATCCTTGTATAAACGATAATAAGCGCTGGTGTTGTTTGTACAACTCGGCTGTTGTTGGTATGTGTTTACTCTGGGCCCGGCCCGAAGAAGAATATCGACAACAACAACAGCAATATCAAAAGTATGTATACTTTACTTACCGGCATTTTTCAAGAAATCCGATATGGACGTAGTTTTTTCCAGCGTTTCGAAAGACGCCAATTGTAAACCGATGGACCGACAGTACTCGTAGGCCAAAAAGTAGTTGAGTTCGGCCGAGTAAGGGTTCATCCTGCTAATGTAATACTGTGTCCCGTCCAGCTGTATGGTTGTGATTCTCTGACCTGTCGACCGACAACAACAACAAACATAATAATTAATTGAGCTCACAAACAATTGAACGATACAACTAATAACCATTTTACAACATGGTGTTGTTATTATTATTATTTATCTAAAATAAAATTCAGCCGTTTTACTGTTGAAGCACAATTACCCGTCGATTCAACCAGTTGGCAATAATAAAACCCAAAAACACCTAGTGGGGTTGATGGAGTTTGTTTGGCCCCGTCAAAAATTCTAGTCATCAAGTTTTTTTTTACTTAATTCCTATCCAAAATTTGTTATATGTGTGCTATTGGGTTTCTGTACACCAGAAAACAATTTAATAGGTCAAGCATTTTTATAAAAAAAAATTCGAAATTTTGCCAACTCTATGAACAATTTTTAATCTGATACTTACATTGTAGTATAGTTTTACGGCGAACGTTTATTTATTTGTTTGTTTGCTCAATTCGAGAATAGAGTTGTAGAGTTAAGACTATCCTCTGTTATTACCTAATTAAAATTCTCAACTTGGCTAACTTATTTCAATAAATTTTTAGCTTCGACAACCATGTTAAATTTGTATCATCAATATAATTGTTCTATATAGATAGTGTTTTTTTAACTCAACCAAAACTATGCAATTAGTTATGATTTTCGGTTTGCTACGAGGGGTTTTTAATTAAACTATTTTGTTTTTCAACAATCAATTCAGGAGATAATTACTAAGAACTCTTGTTATTTAATGCAATGTTTAGGTTCTGGCTTCGAATTGCCCTAATCCAACCGAGTTTTGTACGGAAAGCTTAGTAGGCTCGAGAAAGACACTAAAGGTTATTTTCAACCCACATTTTTTTTCAATCTAACCACAAAACAACTCTTTTTTTTTTCTTGTTTAATAGCTAAAAAAATTCTCCGAAATGTCCTTGACCGTTGACCAGGACTATTGTCCTGCGCCCAAGGGCAAAACGCTTAATGTCTTCTTCTTGTATTCGCAAACAAAACTCATTATTGTACTACCACTGGATATGTCCACTGATAACATTGTTTTTTTTATGTCTGCAAAAACCCGCCAGTTTGTCGGTCCCTGTCGTAAAACGATTATTGTTGCCCATACATTCAACAACCCCATAAGTAATTTCATTTCATCGTAAAACAATAAAATGCATTCATTTTACGCTGTTTAATGTAATACAAGTTGGACTATAAAAATATATAATTGCAAAAATAGACAATTAACAGGGTACAATCGTATTATGTCTTTAAGGCTAACTGTTCTCTACAATCGTATCATTCCGCAAGCCATTGGAATTGAGTTAAGTATCCACAAACAAAATACCGACCTCGGTCTTGTAGAAAATAATAATATTGCAAAAAAAATAATGTCATAAAGTTGTATATTTATCAGTTAGCTACTTAGTTGATACAGGGAAGAAAAATGTATACAAAATCGTATAATACATGTCGTTTTATCTTTGAAATCAAATGTGTGTAATGAAAATCTAAATTTTGAAATTAATTAAACATGTTGGTGAATAATATGATACCGTTAAAATATATTTTTCGTATACACGTTAAGAGTTACTTCTTTTTGTTCAAGCATGCCTCATTTCACATGTGGCTTGTGCAAACAAAGATACACTAAACACAAATATATTGTGAGTTTCATAAGTGTACGTGATGTTTAAAAAAAAGAAACATATTTTCAATAACGAGAATTCAATGTGGAATTTTGCTATGAATTTTCTTAATTAAAATTGAATTTTTCCTATTTTTAAAAAGAGCCAATTGTCATTTGTAATAGTGTACATTTTTTATTGATATTATATATATTATAACCTTTTCCATGACAAATTATGGCGTTTGCATATAAAAATTTAAGTTTTACCCAAATCAAGGTCACAGCAAACGGCATTTACTTAGGAATGAATAATTATTTTAATAATGTATGCCTGTCAGTTTGGTTTTTTTTTAAGGCGTTTTACTTGTTGTAACCGTTAGAGCGTGAATGCGTTTTCATTTAACGAACCTCGATGTGGTTATTATTTTACTCAATGTTTTTATACATTCTGCTGCTACACACTAATAACACTAACACCTAGCTAAAAGCCAATTGTATTCAGGTTAAACTGATTAGTTTAACCTATCTATTTCAGTCGGTTTTTTATAAACGGGCGAACCAATAAACAAACGTGTAAGCTATACAAAATTAAATATTATGTAGAAGAAATTAAAAAATATGTTAAATTTTATGGGGTTATTCTCGATTTTTAATGAAAATATGTGTAACATTTAGACTCCATTTCTGATCAATAAAATCTGATATGAAATTAATTGTTATCAATAAATAATAATCAAACTAATTATATTTTATTTATCTAGATACAAAAATAATGTTATTAACGAATAACAAACTATTATATTATCTCTTACATTTATATTATTTTTTTTTAATTTAATTAAATTTATGTTTATATCCCATATAAATTTTTCCCGACTCTGTTTGTAGCTAATATGTGTTTTAATAAATAATAAACAAAAAATAACTCAGGTATGAATTATTATACATAACAATGTAATTAGAATCCATCTCGAGATTTTATTATTAGAAAAAAAATCGTGGGACGAAAACGGACACCCTCAATACAAAAGACAACACCTCCGACCGGAGTGAATGGTTGGTTTTTTTTTCTTTGATGGATTTATCAAGGCGGTAGGACCCAAAATGGTATACTATATTACAATATGCGTTTGAAGAGTTAATTATTATTTATTCGTATTTCGGTGCGGTATGAGCCATTGTTAAAAAGATGTTAATTTAAAAATTACCACCCCCGAGTTTGGTCAACGCTTAATTAACGGAGTCTTGTACGGTTGGGGGTGGGGTAGGGAAATAAAATAACCCTTATACACAGACTATTGCCCCCGTCGACCGACTATAAAAATGTATTCTTGTCGAAAACATGTAGTATTATTATTGTTTTGTTTGAACTTTACACACGAATAATAACCATAATCATAAAAAAAAAATACTAATAATAAGCGTTTCCTATAAATATATATACATAGAGAAGCATTCTTTTGTACCGACGGCCCATAAGACAATCGTATAATGGTTTTTAACGTCTCCGGTCGAAGGTCACAATGCCTCCCCTCGCATTGTCTTCTCCTTCGACCCAACGTTTTTCCACCACACACGAATTACGCGATTGAGTGCCGGGCTATTATTCAATTATAACATTATTATTATTATTGTTATCATCATCATTATCATCGTCGTCGGAGAATGGAATTATTAATTTTAAATGGCGGCATATTGTGCACCTGTGTACGTCCAAAAAAACAATACACAATATATATATTTTGTGAAACAAAAAAAGTCAAAGAAGCGAATCGTCGTCGTGTGCAGTGTACGTTTAATATTATATTATATATTTATTTATAATATATATTTTTGTTTCGTGTAATTTTTTTTCTTTCCTCCAATTTTTAACAACTCACACGAGTGACGTGGTTTTGGCCCTTTTTTTTTTTTTGTTTCTGCATAGTAGTTAGTATAATAATAATACATTCACAATGTCGTTAAAACGCGGCCGATAGGCCTCGTCGACAAAAACCAACTGTTGTGCCTAAGAACATAATATAAGCTGATCGTACAGAAGAGTAAAAAAAAAATATCACTCTCCCCTTTTTAAAACCTTGACCGCCGACGCGGATAAATCCAGGTGGACGTTAATAATTTTTTTTTTTGACGTTATCGCCGTTGTCGTTTTTACCAGAGAGAATTCGTGTAAAAATGTATTACTATACTTTAAAAAAAAACCGTGTCCGGATCCACGTTTTCGTCGTGCACCCTGTTTACAGTATTATTATCATCTTGTCCTCACACAGTCATCGTGTATTCAGTGTGGCTTCCGTCGGTAAGATGCGCACGTGCATTTCCAGGTAGACAGGAAGTCTACTTGACGATGCACCTATACTGTGTGTGTGTTTGTGGAGTCAAATTTAGGGTTTCGAATAACAAAAGAAAAAAATGAATTTAATAAAAATTAAACATACGGCGTTAAAACCGAACACAATAAATTTAATACGGTTATGCAGGTTTTAAAATGCATAAAATACATTATCAACAAGGGTCCAAAACTTTAAAGAAGGTATTCAAGTACTGTATACGAGGTCTTCGGAATCTTACAATTATCAAGGTCCTATTTCGATGTCATAGTGCACAGGTGTGACAAGTGCTTTTTTTTAGAAAAATTTGCATGGACGACGTTTAAAACATTCATAATATTATGTAATTTATATATCCTTCAACATGAGCACTATAAATCTCTAATTTCCAATAATGTTGTACACAGTGAGTGCGTACGTTGCTATGCAAAACTCCCCCACCTATCAATACCCTTAAGACACCTGTGCGCTATACCATGGATAAACATAGTATGTTATAACATAATATAACATAACATTATATATGTGTATTAATTCAAAGGCTAGATAACAACGATATAAAAGTTTATCCTTGAGTTTACAATTTTTGTTAACATCCAACAATAAATAATAGTATAATATTAAATAGTATATTATTAATAGTTTTGATAATGTTAAAGTTAGTTAGTAGGCAGATGTGTTCCAAGACTGTTAGACTTCCCAAAAAAAGGGCCATTCTCCAAACATGCTTCGGTACAATATTAATACAACATAAAACTAGGGCGCTCAGTAGTTTAACATTCTATGTACAAACTTTGGCTAAATGGTGTATTACTAAGGAAAAATCACTTATATTTTATATTTAGTTGGTTTGAAAAATTTTTAAAATACTATAAATTTTACCACCCCCGCACCTCGCTTAATACATAATAATGATAATAATGATATCGATCGATACTAATGTGTAAAATCTTCGATATTTCTAATAGACGTGAGTAAAACAATTTTTAAACGACTTATTGAAAATCGATTAAATAGAAAAATTTTAACAATTTGAACAAAATACCGACCTGTTGTATGACACGCGAACAATGCGATCACGACCAAAGCCGATATCCGTGGACCGGTAGTTACCATGTTGTTGGATGTGCCGTGTGAGTGACTTGCAAGTACAAGTAAAATAACGTGTGCGGGCGGTGACGACGGCGGGAAAACTGCGGTCGAGGTGGTGCCAAAGTCGTCTAATGATGCACTGGATGAAGTCTCTCAGTCCGGGCGGGTCTTGTATGTGTGCGTGAGCGCTATTGTGTTGTGCGAGTGTAAACACACGAGTATAGTGTTATGTATAAGGTATCGTCATCTCGACGACGTGTGTGTTTGACCCCTCCCAGCCTACCTATATTATAATATGCCTGTGCCCACCCTAAAGCCAGTGTGTGTATGTAAAAGAAGCGCAGTGCCCCGATACTATTGTGTTTTCTTTTTTTTTGGTCTTCGTTCCACACCCGAACCCCTCGGAGTACGGGTAAAAAAAAATGATATGTATATATATTACTCTCAAGTCTGACCGGTGAAATATGTGTTATAATAATATATTATATTTATGTCACCGCCGCGGAGACCCGGGTTCCGTATAAAAGACATTGTAACCAGGACGGCAAAGAAATCCTCAACATCGTCAACGGCGTCAACGTGGGTATTGAGGGCTGGGATGTGTGATAATTTTTTTTTTCCACCGACGGATTGCAATATTCATTAAAAAACAAAAGCGAACCAGTCTCGTTAGAAAAAATAATTGTAGATACGTTAAAAAAGTTAATTAAAGGGTCGATTAAACCAAACGGCGATGCAATTATAAACTAACATAGCCGACTGACAAACCGCTATTGCCAACCGTGGATCAAAATAGTTTGATTTGAAAATCGAATTGGTTTCGAATTTTTAAAAGAAATGTCCTAAAGCAGTGTACATACTGCTAAATTTGCCGACGAGAATCAAAAAGAGGTAAGTATAGAGGACACTTTTTTTTCTCCAAAAATAAGTTTTAATAAATATATGTGTACACCTATATTGATTATTATTTCTGTGCCAGTTTTATCATTTTTTAATAAATATTTTCAAAAAATAAATAAGAAATATCATATTAAAAGGCATATTAATACTATTTAACATTTTTACATTTTCCTAGAGAGCTTTTGTGCAGTTTTTCTCACCCAAAGTTCTTACTTATACTTCTTTAATAAATTATCGTATTGACTCGGAATTTTATTCCCTTTTTTGAAAATAAATAATAATTAATTGTATTTTTCGATAATTTAATTTATAATTATAGCGGAGAAAAAAAAATAATCCCTCCTATAAGCTGTGGCACTTTTTGACAATAATAATCTTTTAGTTAAAATTACTATCTCAAACAAAAATACGTTATACTAAAAAGTATTATTGTATTAATGGTAGACCTAATTTGATTGCAGTACTTTTACATTAATTAGAACTATTTATTTGACATATAGTACTGATTTATCCTGATTTCTTAAGACTGACTTACGTCAGTCTTAAGAACATTTTTTTATAAAAATTATTGAGCCCATTAATTTTCCAATAATTCAGTTAAAAAAATTAAAAAATACCGTACATCTTTTTGATTCTGACCACTCCATTGTGTGGCACAAATCACACAATGTTATTGTTCTGGGAACTTCAATTTCCCTTTCTGTCCGTTGCCCCATTGTTCTCGGAGGCCTAAGATTCGTCCGAATTGACTCTATAAAACCTCATTATTAATATTGTCAATAAGCTATCGAAATAATATGAATAATTTATTACAATACAATATTAATCAAACCACCGCTCACATCTGTTAATTTGTTTTAAAAATGTTGCTCTCATCAATAGTATATCGTGCCGGCTTGATAGACCTTAAAATGGTTTTTTTTATTAAATCTGTTTTATAAAACCATCACGAAAAATACTATCAATTAAAAAAAAAAATGTTTTAAAAAATTCTTTGGGAACTAAACTGCAATTGTTCCAATATTTTCTTGGTTTTCACTTTTATTTTAAAAAAGTAATTCCATTCAGTAGCTATTCTTTTTTATGAACAATTACTGTCAAACGTCGATATAATATTATGTATTTATTTTCTTAACATTATTGTCGTGTTGCTCAGACGTGACCCAAGCAGGATTCACAAGTATTAAAAAAAGAAATACATATTTCTATAAAAAAAACAAAAAGGAAGGAAAAAAACATTGGTATGTCAGAGGTGTGCACCAGTTGTGTTTTAATTTGTTCATACCATTGTTCGTGTTATATGGCGACTGAATCGGGACCGAGTGTAATATTTCATTAGCGTTTTGCGTTTGAGATTTTTTTTATTTAAAAAAAAATGTATGAAGCCATTAACTCTTGGAATATCCAGCGTCCGTAGGAAATATTTGCAAACGAAACTGTTAATGGATTTTATCGAACGCGTTTTTTATACAACATAGACATCACACGCGCTACCTTAATAATCATTGTTTTATGTCATTTTTGTTGTTCAAGTCGTTCCTATTGTCTAGACTTTTAATTTTTTTTTTTATCCAGACAGCACCAGCTGTCGTCGATCAAAATCGATTCCTAGCAGCATACTGTTACTAAAAATAAAGTTTATCTTTGCGTTTCTCCGTTCACTATAACGAATAAGAATAATAATTAATCTTCTTAAATGAATGTCCAGAAAATTGTATGTGTTGTTCTGTCCATAGATGCCTTGTGACTCCACTGAATTCGCCAGACGTATATTCTATGTCATTCGTGTTTGAAAATTCTACTGTTTTTTGAAAACGCGAAGTACGTCATTAGTGTTTGTAAAATTATTTATATCGTATTTCGCGTTTTTTTAGCGGCGGCTAGTAAATATTACTTAGAATTGGTTTTTGCCCGTATGTGAATTACGAATAATTAAAATCTGCTTTGAAACACTGAAGGACGAGTATAAAGTGATTACATATGCATAACGCTAATTAATAGTATGCAGCATGTGTCGGACTGACTGTTTCGGCGTTTAACGTTCCATTTGTGTTCGGTTAAAAAATAACCGGTTGTCTTTGAAAAACGTACGAAAAATATTATGTAACTAAATCAAAAATCGGCCTCTTAGCCCGCATAGAAAAAGTAGTGAGCTTTTCTTATAAAAAAACCGCAACCAAAAATTCAAAGTGACTTTTGAGTTCTGCTTAAGTAATTTTTTGTCGAACTTCCACCATAACTAGGAGAAAAATAAATTTAAAGGTCATGTGACTAGAAAGACTAAAATATGTTTATTTATCCTTAAATTGGGCGGTATATTCAAAATCGATCCTAGATCAATTTATGTCAGATCCTGCTTTTGTTAATTTTAATAAACAGACCTTTGTTGCTATAATAATTTATTGTAATTTTTATTCCTTCGTCGAGTGTACACAAAATAATGGCCAATTGGTCGTAGTTAGCCATAAATTATGATGTTGTTATCAAATTTTCGCTCACCTGACGGTCTCGGGCAAGACCACTATATTATAACATACTCGAACCCATCGAACCGAGTATAATTTTTGTCTGCTGGTAAGTATACAACATTATACACTAGTACAAATACTAATAAAGTGTGCGCCGTTGTTTACAAGTTATTCTCCCACACCGGCCGACAAGCAACAGATAGATATATAAGCGCTCATTGTTCCACTGACTACACACAACCGGGTAATTAGCATTGCAGCGTTACATCATGGTACGGGTATAAATAGTAAACTATAATAATATAATATATTATACTTGCATATAGTATGTGGTCTGTCTCTTCTGTGTCCGGTTCGGCGACCTTTTGTCCAGCTGCTTGTTGCTTCTTCTTCTTCTGTATCTCCTATCCTAATCCGCTTTGTGGGCTTCTCGTCGCCCTTGGCCTTCGGACCTATAAGTTTGCCGTGGAAACAACAACACACACGCTATGTAACGTTTGCGATTTGTCCACTTCAAAGCCTTGGTTATCACACACACACTGCACACACGATAGTGGGAATGACCCGTCGATAATTGGTTTCGGCTTTGAAAGGTAACAAACATTTTTTTTAAAAAACCCCGCATGTTTATGCTATGACTTTCCCGTGATTAATGGTGTAATATCCCAAAGGTTAAAGCCCCACGCTATCGGATACCGTTTAGGCATAAATTAAATACACCCGCAACACCTTTAGCACTTTGAAAGTGCGACAGTCATAATATTATAATGGGTACAGCGTCGTCGTTCGTCACAAAACATTATCATACTTAATAAAACAGTCTAAAGACGACCACGTTCAATCCTGCAAATCTATATGATAACCTACAGGTCTTCAAAGCTGGGCAGAATTCATTTTTTTTAAACTGGTTTAAGCTTAAGAAAGATTAAAATAAATGGCTGAATTCCCGTCCGGGAATTTCTTATTTTTTAATATAATTTTCAAAACGTTCTCAGGTTGGTTTTATATTTTGCTTTGTTCTCATATTTTAAAACACTTTCTATTTTACTGACCCGACCTTCAGAATTATTACTACCCTCTAGTTTCCTTATCTTTTCGTTACATAATAACCGTGTTTACTCCCACGACTGCGAGATAACCCCAATGGTTTAATATTGCTGTAAAACTATCGGGTTACAAACTATGTAAAAAAAAAAAACATGCCCGTGAAATTAAATAACAACATACGTTTGTAACTTTGAATATTTAGACACCGCCCCATCGCGTTATCTGTTTCGACTATCAGAATCCTTTTTGTCGAATATAGCATAATAAAATATCATAAAAGTCGTGATGAACCACGGTTACATAATACTTAGGGACCAACGATAACTAATAGATCACAAATATTGTACTAAAGGTGTTCTACAAAAGTCTACGTCTTCCCAGCTCCCCATCAAAACCGAGGAACAGTCTTTTGAATTATTCAACATTTGTTTTGGGCTACATATCGTTACAGCACTACAGTTATGTGAATACAGTTAACAACCTATTTATTGATCATGAAAACTTTTTTCGGGTTTTTTCTTATGAAACTGCAAACTATTTTTTTTTTATCGAGAAAAAACAAAATGTACAAACAATACAACACACGCATGTATTGTCTGTGTATGTTTTAGTGTATTACTTATTACTATCTTCAGATTCGCGCCAATGCTTTTTTTTTACGTTCAGTCATAATAAATGCTTCAGATCTCTGACCGTCTTACTATGATCCACCCTTACTGTGCTGGCTTTGCAATATTCCATCTCAAAGACACTCGACGAGTACGTCGGTACCAATATTTTGAGACAAAGACAAAGTTCAAAACAGAACTTGAATAAAAAATTATAAATCTTAACCGTTGGGTCGACCGAAAAAAAGGATTTTCAATATACCAAACCTATGTTCGACCTAAGAGTCGAATGCTTATTCGACTCTAGGATGTATAATATATATGTCTGAGATTTTCAAAATCTTAAAAATTTATATTTTGCACCAGCTCTGCAAATTCATAAATTTGGTCGAAGGGAAGGAAGCTCGGGATGGGTTTAGCATCCACAAAACTGTTGAATTTTTTCTTTCGACATCATATTACACGGAGGTTTTATAATAGTGTTCAAGACCTACTCCTCGCTTTTTGCACCCTTGACTGTACAGTAACGTTTGGACGGTCCTTGGGCTCATCTCGGATATCGGCGACCGTCGTCACAAAAACGTTGGCCGGCGAACGTGCGTCGATTACCTATTGATATATTATTATTATTAGTTTATAAACCTAAACCCGGCCGAGGCGGCAATAAGTCACTGCACTGCGTCGTGAATAAATTACCGTCGACGACGTGGTGCCGTAGCCGTCACCTTAAGAAATAAAGTACGTACTATAGCTGTTTCGGGAAGTCCAGATGAACCTAACCGGTAACGTTTTTATTTTTTTCGCAATGCCAAACGCAGGGCAGGAAGTGCCGAATGCGGAGGGTCGGCAATATCTACCGGCCGGCTTAGGCGCCCCGGAGACTTTAACGGTCGGTTTGGGAAACACTGTGCCCGTGTCGACGATTGCGTCCGGTGTTTTTTAAGGACACGACAGGAAACACACCGGCTCTTAGGCCGCGCACGCCTATTGTAACGGACTGTTTAAAATGCATTTACAATTTTATGTACGTCCGAAGAAACAATAGGAACGGCACGGTGTTCTTCGCTTACCCCCTCCCCCACTCAAAAAAAATAAGTAACCACAAAATAACATACATATAATATAATGGGTAATAGAGAAGTCATTTCGTGTAAACCCCAACACTTCCACTGTATAATACACACGAGTTTTAGCCATATTGTTTCCGTGCAAAGTCTACAATGTTTTAACAATATGGAATTCGTATCTACAAATTGGTTTTAATAAAAATCTTGCTATTTTTCATTCTGTTGTTCTCATTAACACTTACAAATTTTGGATCTATCGTTTTTTTTTTTTTAATATGGATTTTTAAAAAATAGGTTATGACTTATGGAGAAATCAGATTTGAACCTGATTCATTATAAAAATGAGGGATGGTTGATAAAACAAGATATCGTTAGGATTTTGAAGGCATTTCGATTGAATTCTGAGAAATTGACTATCACGTGAAGAAAATCACATTCGACCCCATTCACATGTGTCTAGTTAAACTGGAGGAGATTAATTATAATTTATAAGGTATGGACGTATAGTAGAAGCATTGACAACTAAAAGGAGGGTACAAGCAAATTTTTGCCAATATAAATTTCTAAACAAAAAATTCACTTTAAATACATTTATAATATTATGTATCTATATTATAAGCAATAGTCATCGAGTTAAAGTTTACATAGTAAAAAACATACATATTATAATAAAAAAATATAAACGTAAAAATACACTTTTAATACAATTTAAGTACATGAGGGAGGGGCTTTAACTCACCCCTGCGTATGGATAAAAACTTGTTTTCAAAAATGATGTCATCATTTTGGTTCTCATCACTTGAGTAGTCAGCTTGTCAAAGTTTCAAGTTTGAAATCATAAATTTAAAAAAATTGCCGGCAAACGAGCAAGAGCCAAATTTGCGAGGGTGACGATAACGAGCAATCGACGTGCATATTATGCTTTGTCAGTGTTGAAATTAGCACTGTGCATATACATACATTTATTATTATTATTATTATAATAGAGGTAGGCACACATACATGCATGCAAGTGTCCGACGAACGCGGTCCAGAGGTTCAAGGTACTATTAAATATGCGCCCGTGGCTCGGACTGCGGTAAGAAGACCGGCGCGTTCTCATCGGGTGTTGTTTATTGTGTGATTAGTAACGAGATTAAAAATAATAAACAGTCATTATGTGCCAGTAATAAAAATCAAAACCGCCAGTGATAATCAGATTTCCGTGTCCGGAACAAATCGACGATAATAGTATACGCATATATTATTATAATATTCCTACGGCTTATGCTCGTGTAAAAGGCCCTCGGGGTGTCCCGTACTCAAGACGTGTAGCTGGTTTATTTTTTTTTTTAATTCAACGTCACCTCGACAGCCGCAAATAACGCTATATTATGCTAATCAGCCAATACCGGCACTTTAGGCCGCTGAAAAATATTTTTGACTATTTTTTTAAAATTGTTTTTTTTTTTTTGCCATATTGGTTTCCGCTCCCGCGGCTGCATCGTGCGTTACGACTGTAATGATAATATTTTAATAGAAATATGTATATTATACAGCTTGGTAAGTGATGTCCGCTAAACGCATCGTAATTAATGGGATTACGGTTCCCGTTGACGTGCCAAGCCATAATATTATAGCATTCCTTTCGGTCGACGTCTTGCCGGAATGAGATTATGATTTATTAGACTTTTATACAGTGTACATAATACGATTTTTTTATATAATTTTGAAAAGCGCAGATAATAACCCATTCGATGTGTGAATGGCCGCGGCCGTTTGTCCTCTATTATAATGTGTAATTATAGCGGTTAAATGGTAAAAACTATTATATTTTTGAAAACGATTTACCGAGAACTTATGAAAGGTACCAAGCCCAGAGTTCTCTTCCTCGAACCCATATGAAACGTAAATAGTTTCTTAAAAGAGTCCTAAAAAAAAAAAAAAATAATATCATTTATTTATATTTGTAGAACAAATTTTATGGCACCAAACTAATTGTTTTCATTTTTTTCTAAAATGGAGTTTTTTAGATTTTTTTTTTTGTCATACTTAGCTTACAATTAAAACTAGTTACTAATTAGTTATCAAATAAATAGATTGAAACCAAAAAACCACTTGAAATTACATTTTTCCGAGTGCACAAAAACAATAATTGTACCTATGTTTAAAAAATAAATTTATAACATTTTTTGCATACTTTGAAAAACGATAATGATGATAAAAATACATCTACACGAAATTAATGACTAAGACTAATGAGTAGTACTGTTGGCTGAACATATTGTTTAATAAGCTTTAATTAAATTGACTTGAATTAATGTTAGGTTTCTATTATAGGTAGGTTCGGCTTTGTTTTAATGTCACTTTACTATCAAATTTGTTCCGTTTATCCAAATTTTGACTGGACGTATTTTGTTATAAAAAAAGTGGTGTTAACCATAAGTTATAAGCCATTGAAGGTCTCTTGAGCTTATTGAATATTAAGTAACACTGTTACACACCCAAAAAGATTTTTTTATTTATTATAGTCAACACTTTATGGAGTTTGCAAAAGGACTTTGACTCGGTTTAGAGTTCAAAGTATTCAATGGTTTCCAAGTGTGTGTGTCTGTACTGATGAATGTGTTAATGTAAATATGCAGCTTGTGCTGTGTAAAGAATTCCAGCAATTCCCACGATTGTGTTGGGGTCATTCTTTTGGTTTAACACCGGCAACACGTTCAATTATCCGAACCCATTGAACGCTACCCGATGTCGTGGTTATAAGTACACGTGTAATTGTATTATAAACTCGTTATAAGATGTTTCACAAAAGTGAAGTTCTCGCTTAATATTGTAATTAAAATATTCTTTTTTCGTTTAAAACAACGTAGTAGTACCCACTGGGAGAATTATTAAAAAAAACAATTATACTTTGAATATATTATGCAATTGAATCAAGGGATCAATTAGATAAATCCGTTTTTTCAAATTATCCAGAAAAAATTAAGTAAAGTAATAACCCGATTTTACTGTTTGTTACATCAGAATGTAAATTTTTCTGTGGACATTCATCCACAAAAAAAAAATATTTTTTTTATAAAAATGGACTTATCCGGTTGTTATGCTACAAGCCCTCCAATTTGAATAGGGTTTAATAAGACAGTTTAAAGTGTTCAGTAATGGTTTTCCAACACGATTTATTTATGTTGATTATATTTTCTCCGCCGGAACTTGTCTGCCACCGCGGACGTCGGACACTTTTATTTTTATTTTTCAATTAACGATGCAAAAACGACAGCGACAAAGGATACGACCGTCTGAAATTTATAACGCCATTGTGTTGTAGTCGGATGGTTTAGAAAAATAAATACAAAAAATTGATTCTACCGAGTGAATTTGAATGCGCGACATACTATGTACACATACGTGAGCTGCATAATTGACAAAAAAATAAAATAAACGATATTATTATGAAATTAAAATAATAATAATCCGTCTTTTTGCGTTTACTAGCCAAACGGCAATAGCTCGGCTGTTTATTGTGTCCGTGCCAAGGTCTGACCGCTAACGTGGGTAAGGGCTGAAGGGGGTGGGGCGGGGAGGGGGTGGATTCCATGCGAATTTCGTATGCTCGAGAGCAGCAGGTGATTTTTTTTTCGCCAATACAATAGTCGTCGGTACTTGTTAAAAAAAAAGGTCGGTTAGCGGCGCCATAAATGTTGGCCGGTTCGACCTTTGCAGATAATTATATTACACGTATCGCCGGCGCCAAGTGCAAAAATCCGATACAAAAGAAAAAAAACACAATGATTAATATGATAAATCTATAGAAATATAATATGTTATCCTAACCGGCTTTATAGACAACACGTTTGATTTGTGTGTGTGTTGCAGCCACCGTTGCGGTTTGACCAACGAAGACTTGAACAGAAAATGGAACGCCCCGGACCCGAAATTGCATCCAGAAATTTTTCACGCCCGGGTAAGTATAACAAACTCCACCGCACCTCCCCTTCCCGTCCTCCATAAGTAACAGCACCGAATCCTCGGCGAGACAGCAATACAGATTTGATTTACGATACGATTATCAATTTTTCCTTCTCCATTGTAGTATTTTGTTGTTCCTTGACATTTATATAATTAATAATAATCATTTCGCCGGATAAACGTACGTTACGGTAGGTCAGGTTGTATAATATGTATTGTATTTATATAATACACGTTAAACTCTATACAGACATGTTTTTAATATATTATATTACTTTATCTCGTCCCTTTGGGTTTTGATGCTTGGACATTAGTTTAAGAGTCCGAGTGGATTGCAAATGTTTCTTCTTTTTTTTTTAAGGAGGATCGTAGAGGCACTATTCGAATAATATAAAACAATAAATAAACTAATATTTTCTTTTATGCTTTACATATATATTATTCGTCAAATTATTTCTTATAAATTATCCAATTTTAATTTTGTCCCTCTATTTTAATATAAAAAAAACGAGGGCTAGACCCCGAATACTCATTTTATTATTTTTAGCAAAAAAAAAAAAATATTTATTGGTTAAATAACAGTTTGAATAGGTACTTGTTCTGTTAAATACATTATCCGCTGATTGTCAAGTAGTTTTTTTAATTTTAGTTCGTATTATTTTGAGTGTCTGCTAAAACTGTTTTTTTATTAAAAATTCAATTTCACAATGTGTTGAAAATTCCGAAACGGTTGTTTCATTTTATAAAACATTTTAGCAGAAATGGGACAAAACTCCAATACACTTTTTTTTGTTCCATACTAGAATAATATCATTTAGAATAGTTTTAGACATTAGACTATTGTTTTTAAATGTTAATTCTCAAAATCAGACACAAATAATACAATGTTTATCAAATTTCAAACAAATTAAAGAATTTTTAAGTTACTTATCATTTTTATTATACTTGCCGCATACTCTCGTCCCGAAGACTTTGTGTTCATTGTTAATAATTTAAAAAATATATATTTTAACGAAACCAAATAAATAGGTATTGCAGACAAGCCATTTTATTGAGAATAGATATCTATTAAACTCTTTGTATTCATGTTCTATGCGTAACTGGTCGCTAACAGTATTCAAATAAGTCAATATTTCAACGCTATACTACTATAATGTTTTATTAATATTTGTTTAGGGAATTCTAGAATACATGGCACAAATAATGAAAACTGCTCCGCATGTGTATTGTGATTTCCATGGCCATTCGAGTCGGAAAAACTGTTTCTTTTACGGGTGTTCGTCAAAGAAGAGTTGGTCAAGGATGGATTTGGCCAAGTATGAAAACGAAACGGATTTCATGGTTAGACGATAAAATAATTGTTATTTAATGGTTTTGCATATTATTATATTATGTATTTACTATAATGTGTGCCAACAAATTTGGCGCAAAATAATAGTGTAATAACCTCAAAGCCCGGTAAGTCGAGCAGTCAACAGGACGTGCGTACAATAGTTACATTGATGGAAATATGTTTGATATCTCAAAACTATCAGTTTATTGTTGTTGAGATATTACGAAATAAACGGGCGTTCGATGAACCAATTTTTTTTATTGGGGACAATAAAAAGTGTGTAATTTGAAAAACTAGTTTACAAAATCATAATAGGTAATATTTATAAAAATAACGCATACAATCGAATTCGGTTTTTATAATAATTGAGTTAGTTTATTCTGGTATTTAGATTTCTTGTTTTTTGGTCATCATCTTCGTCTTGCTCCAATAATTATTGTCTATTTATTTTATCATCCACTCTTCAATGTACAATTCTTGTTTGATAACTGTATACGAAGCATGTTATGTTATTGACATCTCATTCATAAATCTATTGAAATTGGCTAATAATAGTGATCATAACGAATATGATAGTTGAGTGAAGTCGAAAAAATATATTGTTTAGTGATAAGAATTTTCATTGATAAAGACAATCTGATAACAGATAAAAAAGTGTTGAGTATGGTGATTGATAAGGGATGACATCTGATCAGCTGTTTTTAAGTTAACTTTTAATTTAATTAATTAGTTTAAATAGTTGACTGTGACATTCTTTGTAATATAATTATATACAGACTGAACACTAAAATATATTACAAAAATTTACAAAGCTTTAGCATTTAGAAATGGTAACAAATTATATTAAATTGTTTAATTGTGAGCCGGCCCCTGTCAAAAATATAATCTATTGATAAACCTCTTGAAGATTAATGATCACACGTTCGATTAGGAATGTCAATTGTCAATCAAAGAATTTATAATATGACACGCAAGCCGGGATGGGCGAATTCGGAATAAGATAATAGATAACCTTTAATTCGTAGAATTAATCTATTGTAACAGCTTATAGTTTAAGTATAAATATATTTGTGTATGGAACAATAGTTATCTTGAATACCTTTTTATTTTATAAATAATGACAAAAAAACATTTTTTTTTATTTATCGTGGATAGTTTTCAGAGTTCAAAAAACGATCCAACGGGTTTTTTTTAATTAATCCCATCTAACGTTTTTATTTACATAAAAATATGAGTTTTATTGGATTTATCTATACCCAAAATACTTAACCGAGTCGGGGTTTATTTTTAGAGATAAAAACCAGACGGTTGCCAACTTTGATAGTTTTAGTATTTATATATTGTCAAAAGTTGTTCGACAATTAGTAACCCTGTAATTAATGTAGATTGCGCTTTTGCTGATCAATTACAGTCAGTCTGCGGCCAACACTTCTGGGGGTGACATGCCGCTCGAATAGAGTTGCCCTATATTCAAATGCCTACTTTTTATTTTTTTTTAGGTACTGCCGATTCTAATGCAAAACTGTGGGCCGTCGTTTTCGTTATCTCAGTGCAAATACAAAGTGGAAAGGAACCGCGAGACCACCGCAAGGATAACGGTCTGGAGGTGTTACGGGGTTAAGCGAAGCTACACCTTGGAAACCAGTTACTGTGGCTGTGACGAAGGGCTGTACAAGGTAAGGTGTAATGTTGTTTTTTTATGCACGACCATGCCCGTCTATTGACTCGATCGTTTCAGGGGTTTCATTTGGGCATCAGGCAATTGAAAGAAATCGGATCGACATTTTGTATGGCCCTGTCGTCGCTCGACGAGGAAACGAAAAAGAGGGAGAACATGCCGTCTAATATTCGACTGACGTCCATCGCGACTAGGTAAGTTCTAGCGCCCCTCCCTCCTCTGCAAAAATACATGCAAATAAAACTTTTTTTTTTTGTTAAATCACAATTTTTCATCTTAGTTTAGAAACTACAAAAAGGGGTGAAACCTTACTTGACTTTAATTTTCTTTTTTAATTTCTGTAGGTGGGTGTATTTTTTTTTCAATTTCTGCAGGCTGGGTATTAATTAATTAATTATTTTTAGCTTATCTATTTTTGTAAATTTTAACTTGCAATAATTTGACAACCGTCAAAAAACGTTAAGATTGATCGTGTGTTGTTATTTATTTTAGTTGCAGTACGAAATCGATGGACTTTATCGAGGAAGAAAACGTCTCGGACTCGGACTGAGAAGACTGGCTTGTACCAGAGTGCCTTAGTTTTTAAGGATCAAACTAGAAATGATATTATACCTAATATAGTTATTATTTTAGACCGTACTCGATAACGGTAATAATACTATGCCACCTTTGTGTATTATAACAGTATATTATCGCATGGCCTCGTGTGTTCAGCGTGCCGATAATATCAAAATACAATATTATTATATTTTTTATAGTTTACTCTCGCCACGCCTCGGGTGGTTTTGTCATACCGGCAAACATACTCCAGCCATCGAGGTCTGCCTAACCGTTGAAAAACACGGCGTTTAATTTTTAATAATTAAAACCAAATTCAAACGTACTTCAAAAGACCGTATCGTGTCAATAAGACAGGGGAGGGAGGGGGGGGGTTCTTTTTTCTTTTTATTTGTAAAAATATTAAACTGCGCGATTATGATTTCACGTGCGTTTATCAACTCGTGGATAACGTGATGAACGATTCGACTGTGTGCAAATAACACAATATTGTATCATGACGGTATACATTTTTTTTTTTTTTTACAGATGATTTATAATACTAAATAGTATAAAGCGTCGAAAAATCGTAGCTGTTAACCTCGCCGCTTGTTTTTTTTCCCGTAATATTACTATACAAATAACCGAGTCGACACACTCGTTGTACATATGGCTTTATACAATATTTTATCGACATGGAATTATTATTCTTATCATCATTACCCATATATATATAATATATTTTTTTTGTTTTTTTGTAAAATTAGTTTTATTTGAATTTTTAATACATTAAATGAAATAAAATCGTTTTAAAATACAACACACAACATTGTTGTAAGTTTTTTGTGTTCAATACAAGCCTCGAACCCTTGGTTATAAATTATAATATATTTAATCGATGGTTTTCTATCGAGTTGATGAAATAATAATTATAAGCTGCTCTATACGAGGGTGGGTTTGTGTAATGAAAAACTGAAGTTTTTAAAGCGAAAACTAAAACCTCGGTTTACAGGTGGCCGTAAACAATCGGATAATACTGATATAGTTTGAGTGCAAACAATAGAGTATCGTTTCAAAAATAAAATAAAAACAATTATAATATATTTTTGTTTACACCGGCAACGTAAAATTCCCTATAAAAAAAAACAATATCATCTCAGCTACGCATCGAAGCTAAAAGGATTTCTATTTGGAGATTGTTAGTATAGCATGACCCGTTCGATTTAGACAATTTTTTTATTGATCAACAAAATTGTTATAAAAAAAAAACTACAAAATTACAATTGTTTTTAAAAAATAACGTGTCTTGAATCATGGCGGGATGGGTTAAATTATTTTTTGCTACCGGTAAAAATTATACAAAAAAGACCCAAAGCTTTTTATAAGTACAAAGAGACCAACTGCAATTAGATCCTTAGGAAATGTAACCAGTATTAAGATAAATATAAAATGTATAAATCTTGTATTTATAAGATAACATCTAAGTATACATTTTCACGAACAATGCGTTACCATAAAATACTCACAGACTACTGTAACTGTTATTATTTTTAGTATTTCTTTATTTTTTAATTTTACATAAATATACTAATTGTTTGCCTTTTTTAGCAATTTCCAGAGCTCTATCAAATTTTAAAACTCAATCAGTAACGTTAGTTACTATTAGTTAAAAAAAAAATATGAAACATAGGGCGGAGTGTAGTATTATTTTTATATGAGCACATTACTCTACCGCACTCCACCTGCAGTCCTCCAGTTAAACTTAAATAACGTTAAAAATAATAATTTAAAAGTAGCTATTAGCCAGTTAATATGTTCAGTAAATTATTAAAAAAAATTAAATAATTTTATATGTTATCATTCAGGTTTCAAAAGTTGGTAAGATCTAGAAAAATATACTTTAAAAAATATAAAGTTTGAATATTGTCTAATATTGTAAAATAACACAAACTAAAGTGTCCCCCAAAAAAACTACAAAACTGCAATTATTTTTAGAGAAAACGAATGCTTTCATCCTATATAAATCATCCTATAAAAGTGTATATAATGTGTAAATATAGATTTAGCCTGTCGAGAAAAGATTCTACCAAGAAAAGTGCGTACTGAGATTTGCTCGGTATCTCGGTGGCCCTCGTAATGCTATAGCAGATCTACTTTGAGTTAAATTTTGAAAATTTTAATTCAATTAGAATTTCAATCCCTATAATATTAAATAAGGGGAAATCATTTTTTTTTAAATCCTTCTCTTCCCGAGTAGAAGGTTAATTTTGATTTTGCAAAAAAATATCGATCAACCTAGATCGACTTAACGACATTATATTTTTCAAATTTTAAATAAAAATTCATAATCGTTCTATGTATGTATATATTATACAGCCGAACGCCGCTCACACGTGCGGAACCGTTTAACGAAATACGACAAACAAGTGTAAAACGGTTGTCGGCAATAATAATAATACACGTATATATTATGATAATTGTACTTATATGTAGGTAGAGTATAATAAAAAAAAAAAAAAATGTAGAAAAAATTTCCAACGGCCGTAAAAAGGAGCGAGCGAGACGAAACGAAAAAAAATATGGTCGAAAACAAAGGCTGACAAACGAAGCGGATACCATGTATATATATATATATATATAATACAACAATAATGCGTTTTCAAATGCACTTGTATAAACCTATATTATTATAGCCGATGATGATGATGATGATAATGATGATGGCACCACTTGTATAAACCGACGTTTCAACACCGCGCGTACCTACAATGTGTAATACACGAGCACATACGAGGCATATATGAAGTATACCTTTACACGTATATTATATAGGTATTATATTCTAGTATAATATATTGTACTTAAAACAAATGAAAAACGAACGAATAACGGCCGAAAAAAATATATATAATATAAAAACTATAATGTATACATAATATACAGGGTGATAAATACCGAATCTCTACGATAAGTATAATTAATAACGATAATCGGACGGTATTTATCAAAAGCAACCATCTGCAGATCACTTGATCCGAGTAAATTATAATAATTATACTTGACTAATCTGTTCTTTATTTTCAAATATGTTTAAAAAGAAAAATTGAACATTTTTCTGGCATTATAAAAACAACACGTTTTTCTACCGTGCCTTTTCTGATTTTTCCCGCTATCCTCATGTTATGACTAAACTCCTATTCAAAACTACTCTTGGCTTGTTTGCCATAATTTTTTGAACTGGTTCCCTTTTAATAAAGGCCGACCCATTAGAGAAATATAATATGAACTATTGAAACAAGAACCAAACTACATAGCTTTTTTCAGATTTTTCGTTTAATCCGGCCTTGGGATTGTTCTAACTACCTGTTTTTTTAATCACACACGAAAATGTAAAAAGTAATTACAGAAAGTATTTAATTAAAAAACTTTAAGTACTTAAATTAAATACAGAAAATTTCAAGTAGAATTTATCACTCTATATTTTCATTGCTTAGTTCTTACCCGGCCATAGAAACAATCTACAATTTTTAGTTTTTTTTAACATTATTAGAAAAAAAATTGTCTTTTGTAAGTTAGGGTGTACTCCAAAAACAAGCTTTAATTTCTTTATACAGTGTTGTTTAAAACGAATTCTTTATTGTAATACAATTTAAATGATAATGAATAGTTTTATTTATTTATGTTAATAAATATTATTTTACTGAGTACTCGTAATTCAGAAGGGCAACATTTAAAACAACGAATATCAACCTAAATATTAGATTGTCCTAATGTAACCTAATTTATTTTACAACGATGGTACATTTCACTTTAATATAACATCTTATACTCCCCCGTCTATGTCTTTTAGTACCAAATAACTTAAAAAGTATTTGTTCAAAAACTGATAACCGTAATCAGTCATTATTCGTGCTCCATCAATTAGGTTAATACTTGATCAAAAAGTAAAGAATAAAAGTTACACTCTTCAGTTAGCTTTTACGATAATATTATAAAAATAATGTTTTGATTTGAGCGTAGTCCTATAAGGGTTTCTTTATTAAATTGTTAATTCAAAGGCGCCAAGCTAATGGAGACCCTTCCTTGTTTTTACAGAGCTAATTTCACACACTTAACCTAAGTTATATACAATTTTGTATTTTCCTTTATGCTCTGTGTAGAAAATTAAAAAAAAAGAAAACTCAAAAACGTTTTTATTTTTGTTCGTGGGAATGCAATTTTTAACCCAATATAAAATCGAAACGTATTTTCAATGTGTTTGCGTTGACTTAATTCCTCCTATTTTCCTATTATTTTGACCACTCTGTGTATTAGAAAGTTTATAATTTACATGTATGCCATTTTTTAGTCCCTCGTGCATATATAAATTTGGACCGTGAAATTAATTATTATAAGACTATGTCCAATGATTTAATACAATATTTGAGAATTGACGTTCAAATGTAAATTATTATTGTTACAATGTACACTGCTTGGTGCGAATGGTCTATATTGTATATTATTCTATACTGGAGTTTGTACAGACTAGGTTTATGATGTGTTTACACGGCCCATACCGAATGATGACTATATTTGTTTATACTATAAACTAACCGTAACGATAGGTTGAGCAATATTTTAAAACATTATTTAGGCACGACTAATGAGTTTAGTGAATTAAATGTTTTTTACAAAATATGTGTACCTATACCCGATGAATGGATTTACCTAATAATAACATTAAAAAAAACAATTAATCTATCAATGATTTTCTTCAAAACATTTTACTGTAATAATTTTGAACAATTTTTTTTTTCAAATTTAAATTGACTTTTCAATCATTTGCTAAAATATAAAGGTAGTAGTTAACACTACTAATGTTTTCCTAAAATTCATATATGATATTTATCTTATCAGAGGAGAAGAGGGAAAAATTATATATTATTAAATGATTTATTTATGAACTTAAAAAAAATGTGAGAAAAGTAATGTAGCAGTTTTTTTTGCAAACTATGTAGTACATTATACATATTATGTATAATTTTATAATATCGTATTATTTCTGTTAAGTTTTTGTAATAATACATTTTTTTTCGACCATAAAATATTATTTCCAATAGAATTTTAAAATTCAAAATTTAATGCAATACCGTGAAAATATCATTTGTTTGGTGCCGACGATTCGCGTATTCGTTTATACAGTTTTTTAAACCACTTGTTATTTCTTTTTTTTTTCAAAGATGAATGCGAGCACAAACAAAATACAATAAAACCAATTGTCAATAGTCAATGTAGGTTATTTTTTATTACAAATCATAATATTTTACTGACGAATATAATATTTTTGATAACAAAATCGATTACAGAAAAATATTGATAAGACATTATAAAGTT